CGTCTTCCGACTCCCCCAATAGCTTCTCCACGTCCTCCAGGCTGATCTCCTTTTGCAGCTCCTGAATCGCCATGTGCCCCGCCTTCAGGCTGTCAAACACTTGAGCCTGCCGGCTCGTAATCTCGATGTCTGCGAGCTGTGAAAGAGAGGTTGAAAGCGAGGGAGAGAGAGGAAGGGAGGGGGAAGAGAGGAGTGAATAATTCGAACTCGTCTCTTTCTGCAGCTCCTGAATCGCCATGTGCCCCGCCTTGCGGCTCTCAAACACTTGAGCCTGCCGACTTGTGATCTCGATGCCTGCAAGCTGTGAAAGACGGGGAGAGAACCGGAGAGAGTAATGGAGAGAGTAAGGGAGAAAGAAGGGGAGTACAAAGGGAGGGTGATCTCTCTTGCTCCATGGATCCCCAGGCGCACCACCCCACCCCCCCAACCCCTCCACCCCACACCCCCCCAACCCCTCCACCCCGCACCAACCCCCCACCCCCCCAACCCCAATCCCTCCACCCCGCACCACCCCACCCCGCCGACCCCCCCACTCCGCGCCCCTCCCACCCCTCCACCTGCCCCCTCCCCTCACCCTTCCCCCTCCCCCTTCCCCCTTTCCCCCACCCCGTGTCCAGTTAGATAGGTGCTCATCTGCTGCTCCACTCGCAGCGCCCACAGCTTCTGATTCCGCCAAAGCGTCCCCATAGACCTGCTTCCGCTTCAGCATCAATCATCGCACTTTGCACCTCCTTCTTTCCCTCTTCGAATCACTCTTACCTACCCGCCAATCAAGCCTCCCTCGCTCCATAAGACACTTTTCCGTTCAAAAAGCGCTCACCTGCTGCTCCCACTCGCAGCACCACTCGTCCGACTTCGCCGCCAGAAGCGCGCGCACCCACCCTAATCTACTTACCTCAAAGTCAACTCATCCCCCACCTGCTGCTCCACTCGCAGCACCCACGCGTCTGATTTCGCGAGCGCGTCCGTCTGAAGCTTCTTCTTCTTGAGCGCCAGCAGCGCGCGGTCCTTCTTGCCCTCCTCCTATCCGTAAGACACCCCCGCGTTCAAGAAGCGCACACCTGCTGCTCCACCTGCAGCTCCCACGCGCCCCATCGTCCCCTCGTTTACTTCACCCTGGCTCAGCTCAACGCCCGCTCACCTGCTGCTCCACTCGCAGCACCCACGCGTCCGATTTCGCGAGCGCGTCCGTCTGAAGCTTCTTCTTCTTGAGCGCCAGCAGCGCGCGGTCCTTCTTGCCCTCCTTGATCATCTGCCGCACCACCTCCTGCTCCCGCTCGATAACTGCACCGACCTTCAAACGGGGATAGAAAATATTGCGTCCGTCTGGAATGGAGTTGAGGCTTGAACGAGACGAATTTAACAGAGAATGTTACGCTGGTTACACGAAACGCAATTAGATAACAAATTTCCAAGTATCGAAGGATAATAACAAGTGGATCGATTCTAACACCTTCTAAATACCGTGGGATCACGGCAAGCGGATCGATCCTACCTTCTTCTGGTATTCCGCTAGCTTCCGCTTCTGCGTTCGCAGCGACAGTATCGCCTTATCGACATCGGTAACAGCTTTGCGCTTTGAGAACAGTGCTCCCATATCTGGAAAACGGTGAGGGCTGCCAGTCGCAGTGCAGAACGCCGAATAATAAAACAAGTCACGAATACGTGAAGAATATGTACGGTCGTTGTAAGAGCAGTGCGAGAACGATCAACGCAGACTGGCGAAGTGGAAATTCGTTGGAGTGGTCAGTGCGATGGTGAATCTGAGATAAGAAAGTCGCTGGTTACGGAAAGCTAGCTAGAACATAGGCTCACAGCGTAAGAGCAGCATCTAAGATGGCGTTCCCACGGTTTGGACAAGACGTGAGTCTGCCCACGCGGCTTGTAATTCGGCGGGATGGTGTCCACGGTGAGGTACTTCCCCACTTTGAACACGCAGTGTTTTATGCTAAAAATTCGCAAATTCGGCTTCAATCTCGCCTCCAATTACAGAGCAGAACGAATTTTCGCCAGCCGTAGCGAGTTCAAGCATTGATTTTCAGGTGTATTTTCCCAAGTAGTTTTGTTGTTCAAGCGTGGAGTTGACTTTTTGTTCTGTACGGGAAGAGAGTTTCTTCTCGATTTTTGAAACGCTTTCGCCCCAAAAGTGATTCGTTGCCCTGCCCTTCGACTGCATTTCACTCCATGGTTTGCGGATGTTATCGTCAGACGTTCGATTGAGTAACCATGATGGATCTTACGACCCAGATTGTTTGTACATGGTGTCCAGACCTGGAGTCGCAACCATTCAATTTTAGGACGTGTCTCACTTCCGACGAGTCTGCGAGCCGGTCCGCTCTTGGAAATGTTGCACCCCAAAACCGTGGACTGGTCCGCCGGACCAGGTTGAGTCCGTACTGGCGAACCAGCTTCGGACTGGTCCGCTGATGAAATCTACAGTGGCGTGAAAAGACGACTGTTCAGGAGTCCGACGTGGACCAGCTCGCCGAACCAGTCAAGACTCCCCAGTACAGTCCTTTTCCGTCGTTAAAACACGCGGGTCCACGCTCCGGTCCACGCTCGGGTCCGTGGTGGTTTGGTGGACTGGTCCACGTCGACCGCCTAGATCTAGCGTGGACCGAAGATTTTGAGACACCCTCTTAAGGGCGCGTTCGTTTTGTCAAATTGGACAAAGTTCATGTTTTGGGGACGATTTTTTTTTTAACCTAAGTCGAATGGAATTCGACTTTCCTTGTAGCGAAGTTCGAAAATTGCGGGAATAACACTGCAAAGATGCAATCACACACGCAAGGTCGAACACCAGAATTCGAACTTTATGTTACCCGGTACTTGCTCGCCAAGTCAAATTAATGCCATTGTATGTTTCGCGATGAAGTCGTCAATTTCGCATGGTGTTCGTGCGTGCCGAAAACACACACGCTCACATGAACGTGCTCACGCACGTTCACAACGCCAACTCGAGTCATGTTCATATTTTAAGTTCGAACTTTCATTAGGCCTGAAATTCGCGATGTTCGTCACACGCTCTTGACGAGATTGGCGAAAAAGGTAACCACCTAAAGTTCGAACTTGGAAACGGAACGAACGCGCCATGAGAAACATTGGAAAATTGCAAGACGCGTGGGCAGACTCACACTTGTCCTAACCGTGGGAACATCCCTAAGCTCTAGCTAGTAGCCTCTTTTGTGCTCATTCACATTCCGCTGAAAAGAGCTTGCAGCTAACCTCGATGTTGCTGTTCTGTTCCATTGTCGTCTCAAGCACCCCAGAAACGAAACCCAACCCAACACCTTAAGCTCTTCGGTTCGCGCTCATAACGCTTCGGTTCTGTCTGGTTGAGGGAGTTTTTTGCATTCAGTTCAGTGCAGAGTGGTGTGCTTGTTTTCTTTTGGCGATCGGTTTCGGTCGAACCTGGTAGCGTGACGAACGCGGTCGAACGCAAACAAAACGCAGATTGAGACCCGAAGTTCGGCTCTCGGGTCAAAGGGCAGGAGTTGCGTACATTCACGAACCAAGCCCAACAGGTGCTCACAACTCACGAGATGCAGTGCCGTTCGCTTTCGTTTCAAGTACCATGGTTCCGTTCGGTGCGTTGCGCTCCATAACGGTACATGAAGAAACCGCTGTAACGCGTGGAATCGCACTGAACCGCATTGACCAACACATCACACACCACCCCGAAGGGATTGCGAATTGCGAGAGGTAGTCAAGACACACACCCGCACGTCAAGGGACACCTGAGTCCAAATGCACCAGCCATCCATGCCGGCGTGGAGCCCGGTCAGGAGCTCGTGACGTGACTCGTCAGTCCATTCGCTCCGCGGAGAAAGTGAATGCTATTTCGTCCTGCACGCTGTATTATTTTCGTATCCGTTCTCCTCGTTTATAGCCTCGCGAACGCCGTCATGCTCGGCTGGTTGGGTCTAGGGCAAGTCCAGCCCGAATTTTACGCGGACGAGTACTCGCCAGAGGTTGACTTATCAGGTATGCGGATTCGAACTCTGTTTGCGACGTTCGCATTCAATGTCGTTGTTAACGAAGGCCGCATGGAATGCGACGATTGGGATAAATGCGATCCCATTGGCCCGTCGAAATGCAACATAAGCGGACTTCAGAGTAGTGGGGGCTATCAGGTGCTCCCGGGCCGTGTTAATCCGTCGTACGCATTGGCATTTGTTGTCTAGGTAACGGATTTCACCTTCTCTGCTGAGGTAACAGCTGGTTGATTGGCATTCCGTCGCGTCAGGTGCTGCGTTGAGCTCTTCCGCCTATGCTGCAATTCTCATTCTGCGCCTGATTTTGCTGGTGAAAATCGAAACTAGAAATTTCATATACTCTGGTGCTGCATTTGCCTCCTCCCAATGCTGTGCTCTGTCTGTCGCCATGACATGCGCTGCTGTGTTGCCTGTGGCAATTTCCGGATTGCAATGTGAACGACATGTGCCGTTGTTTGATGAACAACGTCCTGTCTCATCTCACATTGCGAAATGTAACAGAGTTACCAGATGGAGAGGAGGCCTCGGAGCTGCTCAGTTGTGACGTCTGGAAGGAACCTCTGCCTCTTGGTATTCTCTCACCCTCACACTCTCACACACACAAGTGTGCACGCATACTCGCGCTTGCACGCGCGCGTGCGCACACACGCACGCACACGCACGCACGCGACGCGTGGCGTGCGCGCTCGTTCACACACACACGAGCACGCGTGTGCACACACGCACACACCACAACCCATGTGATGCTCATTCGTACAATCTTCCTTCCCACATGCCCTTTTAGGCTTTTCCCTGTTTTCTGCCCTTCCCTTCCCTTTTGTCTCTAACCCTCAGCTGTACAATGCGAAACCTGGAATGCCGTTTCTCGTCAAACTCGTCGTTGAATGCACACCTGCAATGCAATACAACGCAAGCATTGCCATAAATTAGTGCCTTGATTGATACACAATGTGAAGCCATGATTGGAATGCCATACGATGCATTTTTCTACTACATCCGTGCCCGATGGCAGGTTCGGAGCGGTTGAGAGCGTTGCTGCGGATCAACAACTTCAGAGACGAGCTGCGCGCCCTCAGGCACCACTTTCTGGGCACCAGAGAGCTCAGGTGCGCTTCTTGGGCGGGCCCCTGCCTTTTCCCGTGCTATCGTGCGCACGCTCAGGAGCAACCTCATGCACACCACGCTCAGGAGCAACCTCATGCACACCACGCTCAGGAGCAACCTCATGCACACCACGCTCAGGAGCAACCTCATGCACACCACGCTCAGGAGCAACCTCATGCACACCACGCTCAGGAGCAACCTCATGCACACCACGCTCCAACGAACTGAGGTGCCTGATTAGGAAAAACTTCACCAACTGGAAGCACAATCCGATTCAGATGAGGAACACCTCTGCTGCCGCCTTCCGTCTGTCTCCCAGGCCCTGCCCATGCCATGCCCATGCTCATGCCCACGCTCCCTCAGGGTGCTGACAGCCGCATGCAACGTGGCTTGCATATCCGATCCAAAATGAGGGCCGAGGCCAACTCTCTCTTCAGGGAGAAGATGGATAAGTTGCAACATTTTTGTTACTTGCTTCCCTCATCTGCCCATGCCATGCTCATGCCTTGCCTGCCCGTGCCCCAGGGTGGTGACAGCGACATGGAACGTGGCGGGCATATCGGACCCGCCTGCCCACCTGGACCTCACGGACTGGCTCTCCCTGCAGCAACCCGCCGACATCATCGCCATCGGGTGAGTGGTTGCTCGTTCCTGTCCTATAATGGCATGTCATTCCATGTCTGTGGCCGTGTCTCGCTCCTTGCCTTGCCTCGCCTGCCCACCTGGACCTCACGGACTGGCTCTCCCTTCAGCAACCCGCCGATATCATCGCCATCGGGTGGGTGGTTTTCCTCCGCTGGCCTCAAAGGACCATGTCATGTCATGCCGTGCCATGCCATGTCTCGTGGCCTGTGTTGCACCATGCTCTGCCTGCCCACCTGGACCTCACGGACGTGCTCTCCCTGCAGCCCCCAGCCGGCCTGCTCTCCCTGCAGCCCCCAGCCAACATTATCGCCATTGGCTGGGCGCTAACTGCTCTTTCCTGCCCTCACAGGCTCACACAGCCGTGCTGCTATGCCATGTCCGTGGCCTGTTTTGCACGCCGCTCTCCTCCCCACCTGGCCCCCCTCACAATTGTCTCTCCCCTCGCTACACTACAGCACCCAGCAGATATCATCGCCATCAAGTGCATGGGTACTTGCTGCCATACCATCACCCTTGCTGCTCGCATCACCCCTCACAGGGTTGTGATGTGCTGTGTCATGCGTGTGACCTGGGTTCACCCCTTTTTTGCGCCCACATGCCGTCCTGCTGAGCGTGGTGGGCAGAGTGCTGCTGGGGATGAAATGAAAGCACTCAGACGGGAGTCCCTGACTCATTGCATCTTCCTTCGCGCCCATGACTCCTCCCTTACCACAGCTTCCAGGAGATAGTCCCACTGAGCACGGGCAGTGTGCCGGGGATGGACTCAGAGGAGGCTATTCCCGCCCTCTCATTTGTGTGCTCGTCCCTTCCCGTTCCACCCATGTGCCCTTCTCATTTGCAGCTTCCAGGAGATAGTCCCGCTGAGCACGGGCAGTGTGTTGGGGATGGACTCAGAGGAAGCGGTGGGGCAATGGGAGGCCCTCGTGCGCCGCCAGCTCAACACCGCCGCTGCTAAGGCGGCCAAGAAGGCTGCTGCTAAGGCTGCTTCCAGAGAGTCTTGCAAGGCTGATGAACCCGTCGAGGGGAAGGTCGATGGGGCAGAGCAGGCAGTGGCAGACGGAGGCAGCAGGGCTGGAGCTGGTGATGATGAGACCAGCAGCATGACCAGCAGCAGCAGCCTTTCGTTTCACACCAGCAGCTTCCGCCTTCCCTCTGCTTCTGACGCCTCCAAAGGGTCACTTGATGAGAGTGCTGCTGCTGCTGTGGCTACAGAGTCACATGTCGGTGCTGCTGCTGCTGCCTCCATGAGTCCAGCTGATTCTAGCGCTGCTGCTCCTGCTACAGCTGAGTGGGAGGGGGATGCTCTGCAGCAGGGGGAACATGCAGATAAGGCACCCCTGGATAAGATCCTGCCTGAAGATTTGATCAGTGTGCCGCTCACTCCTGCTGAGCCCATCTTTGCAGATGGAGGTGGATATGGTGGGGAGGGGGGTGGCGTTGGGGGGGAGGAGAGGGGGGATGTGCGAGAGAGTGAGGGGGGGATGGTAGGGGGGAAGTCTGGGGAAGGGGAAGGCGCAGGAGTGGATGGGGCGACGGGAGGGGAAGAGGAGGGAAGGGGAGGGGAGATGGAGGAGGAGTGGGAGGGAGGGGAGGTGGAGGAGGCTTATGTGAAAGTGGCAGGGCGGCAGATGGTGGGGGTCTATCTGATGGTGTGGGCGCGCAAGGGACTGAGGAGGCACATTCATAGCGTCAAGGCCAGCACTGTGGGCTGTGGGCTCATGGGCATTCTTGGCAACAAGGTGAGCGGTTGAGTGCAGTGCAGTGCGGTTGAAAGAGATAAATAGCTGTCTTGCATCAGGCAACACCTTGGCTTTGGCCATTCGTGGAAGCAGATGCCCGGAGGTTAGGTTATTTGCCAGGCTGCGCTCATGTTTAACAGCAGCAGCAGCATCATTAGCAACAACAACGGGGCATTTGTTGGATTTAAAGACGTCTGCAGTCGAGCTTCGTAATCAGTGCAGGTCCTCGAATCTTGGGACGGGGGGTGAGGCAGCCGCTGCAGCTGCTGCAGGGGCAGCAACAGTGGGAGCAGCAGCATGAGAAGCAGCAACAGTAGTAGCCGGCATTAGCCAGCGCATGGAGGAAGTGGGAGGAGCAGAAGGGGTAGTGCAGGGCAGGGAAGAGGGAGGAGAAGAGTGAACGGAGGGCAGGAAGTGGGAGCAGAAGAGAGAGTGTGGGGCTAGGAAGAGAGGTTAGGGGGAGAGGACGAGGGAGAGGAAGAGGTTTGGGAGGAGGGAGGGGAAAGGGAACGAGAATTGAAAGGGGAAGGGGAAAATGAGAAGAGGAGTTGAAGCGAGAAGAGAAAGGGGAAGGAAACGGGGAAGCCACCATAGACACTAGAAATAATCGTGAACCCTCTAGCATTCCACCTGCTGACTCCTGCTGCTGCTCCCCACTGTTGATGCCCCTACTTCTGGTGCGACTGCTGCTGCAACGGCTGCCTCACCTCCCGTGCCAAAGTTCAAGGACCTGCACTGATTATGAAGCACAGCTGCAGACATCTTACAAATCCAACAAATACCCCATTGCTGTTGCTAATGCTGCTTCTGCTAATGCGCGTGAGCATTTGCCAGGCTACGCTCATGACTGCAACCCTGTCTCCTCACCTCCTCTGCTATGTTGCGGAACTTGGTGGGTGACAGTTGAGTGTGTTGGTGCATGAAACGTCACTTGCTTTCGTCTGTGCGCATCTCAATGCGCCCTCGTGCCACCTCCCTCGTGCCACCTCTCTCGTGCCACCTCTCTCGTGCCACTTTTCTCATGCCACTTCCCTTGTGGTACCTCCCTGTTCCACCTCCCTCATCAGCCCAACCCCCTTCACACCTCAATGCAGGGCTCAGTGGCAGTGAGCATGTCGGTGCATGAGACGTCATTCACCTTCATTTGTGTGCATCTCAACACGGGGGAGGAGCGTGCCAATGCCGCCCTCACACCACCTTGCTCATACATACCACCTTCCTAAACCCTCTCTCATACAATGCAGGGCTCTGTTGCAATAAGCATGTCGGTGCACGAAACCTCATTCACCTTCATCTGCGCCCATCTCAACGCGGGGGAGGAGCGTGCCGACGCTGCCCGCCGCACATTTGACTTCCTCGAGATTCTTCGCCGCACCACCTTCCCCAGAGAGCTGCCGGACCCATGGACAGCCAGGCTGGCAGAGACCATCACGGAACACGAGTGAGTGGTGTGTGTGTGGTTTCGTGGGGCACACTGGTATGCAAGGCTTGTTTGAAAACTCGCTTACTCAATAATCTCCACCGCACCGCCTTCCCCAGGGAGCTGCTGGACCCATGGACTGCCAGGCTGGCAGAGACCATTACGGAACATGAGTGAGTGGTATGCGGTGTGGTGAGATACACAGATATGCAGGCCATGTTCAAACACTGGCTTACTCGAGATTCTCCTCCGCACTGCCTTCCCCAGAGAGCTGCCGGATCCCGAGACTGCCAGGCTGGCAGAAACGATCACGGAGCACGAGTGACTGGTAGTGGTGCGGGAAGGTGAGGTTTGCCTTTTTAAGCGCCTCGAAAATCGCCTCGATACACGAGGCTCGTTATGACTGCTGGTGCTAAGTGCGGGAGCGAGGCAAGTGGGGGCGTGCAGAGGTTCTTGGGCATTCTCTCAACCACCACCTGGAGCTGCCTCACCCCCTCATTTCCACTCCCCCCTAATCTGACATTCTGCCTTATCTCCCACACTTTCCACCAGTCAAGTGTTCTTCTTTGGCGACCTCAACTACTGCCTCGAGTTGCCTCCCAATCCAGTCTCTACCCTCCCTCCCTTCTCTCTGCCCTGCCCTGCTCCCCATCCCCTCCCCTCTTTCCCCCCCACCCCTCCACCAGTCGCGTGTTCTTCTTTGGAGACCTCAACTACCGCCTCGAGCTACTTTCCATCCAACCCTCCCCCCCTCATTTCCACTCCTCCTTTCTCAGACATTCTGTCCCATCTCCCACACTTTCTGACTCCCTTCTCCACCAGTCGTGTATTCTTCTTTGGAGATCTCAACTACCGCCTCGAGCTGCCGGATTTGGAGGCGCGTGCACTGCTGGCCAAGCGCGACTGGGAGGCGCTGCTGCAGCACGACCAGGTGAGATGCGGTGCAGTGCGGTGCTGTGGGATGCTCTAGCATGATGTGCCTGCGTGGTGCTGTGGTGTGCTGTGAGATGTTAGGGGTGGTGCTGCAGTGGGAAGGAATGAGTCGTGTGCCACTGGGACTTGCGAGCTGCAGCGAATGATGGATTATGGAACTCAAGTGCGTGAACTCCCCGACTTCCTCGCTCTCACCTCTAGCTGCGCTGGGAGCTGTCACAATGTGGGGGTTCCCAAGGCAGTATAAGGCCTTGGTCCTTTCGTCCCAATGTGAATACACCACATGCAACTGTGCTGCTGCACCTGGCCATCTAGCTGCGTTACCTCCCCACCTCCCTGCCACTCTCTCTCTCTCCTGCAGCTGCGGTGGGAGCTGTCAGAGGGAGGGGCGCTCCTCGGGTGGCGCGAGGGCCCCATGTTCTTCGCCCCAACCTACAGGCTACAGGCACTATGTATGAGGCACCTCAGATGCGCAACTTCCCACCTCCCTCCCCACCCCTCCCTGCAGCTGCGGTGGGAACTGTCAGAGGGAGGCGCACTCCCAGGGTGGCGAGAGGGTCCGATCTTCTTTGCCCCGACCTACAAGTATGCAGCGGGCAGCAACCGGTACGTGGGGGAGGACGAGGAGGACGGGGAGAAGCGCCGAACCCCCGCCTGGTGTGACCGGGTCCTCTGGTACGACTCGGGGGACGCCACTGACAGCCTCCCCCCCACCAGCATCAGCAGCCCCAGCCCCAGCACCACCACCACCACCACCACCGGGATCGCCAGCAGTGGCAGCATGAGCAGCATGGGGGGGTATGCGAGTGATGCCTTGCAACTGGTGTCGTACTCGCGGGCGGAGTTGGCGTTGTCGGACCATCGGCCGGTGGCGGCGGTGTTTGCAGTGCAGGTGGAGGCGGTGGAGAGAGAGAGGTTTGATGCTGCCGTGGCTGTGGCGTGCCGGCAGCTGGACGAGCGGCAGCAGCTCGCCATTCCGCATTTCTCTCTCAGCGCTCATGCCGTGGAATTCGGAGAGGTGAGTCGGAGTGTGAAGGTGTGATGTTTGGGCTAGGCACATCTACCACGGTCGCAAGTTGAGGCTAGGCAGGTGCACAGTAGTGCCGGTGGCGGCAGTGTTTGCGGTGCAAGTGGAAGCGGTGAGAGGGAGAGGTTCGATGCTGCTGTGGCCGTGGCGTGCCGACAGCTTGATGAACGGAAGCAGCTGGCGATTCGGCACTGCTCGCTCAGAGCCCATGCAATCGAATTTGGGGGGTTGCATTGGGGTGACTCTTTCAAAATCTCTCAAAGGCGACTCAGGTGTGAAGGTGTGGTGTTTGGGGGCTAGGCACACGAACAGTGGCACCAATAGTGCTGGTGGCGGCGGTGTTTGCGGTGCAAGTGGAAGCGGTGAGAGGGAGAGGTTCGATGCTGCTGTGGCCGTGGCGTGCAGGCAGCTGGATGAACGACAGCAGCTGGCGATCGTGCATTGTTCTCTCAGCGCACATGCTGTGGCGTTTTGAGAGGTGAGTTGTGAAATGCGCTGCAGTTGGTCTCATACTGTCGGGCCGATTTTTGGGCGGAGCTGCCTCTCTCAGAACATTGGCCTGTGGAGGCGGTGGAGAGAGAGCGGTTCAATGCTGCTGTGGTTGTGGTGTGTCCCCAGCTGGATGAACGACAACACTGGTTGTCTCCAATTTCAAGCTCACAAAGTCCCTTCCTTATAGCAACCCAATTTTCATCTTTGTCATTTTTCCAACCCATGTCATCGATCTCACCCAGATTATCCACACTTGCCAACCTAGTTTGACTTCTGCCAACCACTTGGCACCAATTACAATGAAATGCTAAATATTGCAAACCGCCAATGGCCCCTACTCCATGTAGAGTCACCCCACAAATTTTAAAAGTTGCCGCAAAAAAAAAATAGCTTTCAAATTTCAACCGGTCGTAACTTTCTCGTTCGTGATCCGATTGAGATGATTCTTGGTTCACCAGAACGCTCTTGAACAAAGAAGACATTTTAAATATTTGTTCCAGCAAGATGAGATTCACACACACTTACAAAGTCCATAACACATCAAATACAAACTCTTGCAAACGCTCACACCACGCGTGCAACGTACGAACATAGGATGTGAGTCAGATATACCTGTATGCATATGATAGCATCACACAACAACTCTCTGTGTCCCTTCTCCCCTTCTCTCTCTCCCTTTCTCCCCCCCTCGCTCTCCCCTCTTCCTGCCCCCACCAGGTGTCCTACTCCTCTGTCGCCCGGCGAATCTTTGAACGCCACAATCTCGACACGGTGCCCGCCCGATTCTCACCCTTCCATCCCTCATCCACATAACCCTCACCCCCTCTCCTCCTCCTCCCCTCCCTCCCCCGCCAGGTGCCCTATGCCTCTGCAATCCGGCGAACCATAGAGCTGCACAATCTCGGCACGGTGCCCGCGCGCTTCTCCGTGGCCCCGGCAGGCAGCACAGACACCGCTGCCCCCGGCCCTGCAGGGGGGTGCGGGGCATGGGTGGTGGCAGAACCAGCAGCAGGGGCAGTGGCGCCAGGCCACACAGTGACTCTCAGCCTGCACACCTGGGTGGCTGTGCCGGGCACGCGGGTGGATTTGTTGGTGGATCGCGGGGGGCTGCTGGATTTGATTTTGGTGGTCGCGATTGCGGGCGGCGGGGACCTGTTTGTGGCGTGCTCTGGGAGCTACGTGCCGTCCTGCTGGGGCCTGCGGTGAGTGTGGCTATTCGTGGCTTGCGATATGTGTTGCTGTGGGTGTTCTTATTCTTTGCCCACTCCCTTGCATGCGACTCCAGTGCCTCTCCCTCTCTTCATCAACACCGTTTCCCTCATCCCACCTCCTCTCCCTCCTCCATTCTTCCTGCCATTCCTATCCCTCCCCTCCCGTTCAACACTCCTGTCTGCCGTTCCTCTCCTTCCCCGCTTTCTCCCCACCCCTTAGTCTAGAGCCACTGGCGGGCCTCAAACACCCAATCCTGTCGCTCCCTCGCCACGCCAACCCCATTCCCTTCCATTCCCGCTTTCCTTCATTCGTCCTTCCCTCGTTTTTTCCGCCCCGCTCCCCACTCCCTAGCCTCGAGGCTCTAGCAGGTTTCAAGGACCCCATCCGCTCGCTCTCCCTCAATGCCATCACCCTCATTCCCTCCGTTTTGTCCCCTTATCATGCCTGCCATTCCTCTCCCTCCACCCTCATTCCCCACCCCCTAGCCTGGAGGCCCTAGCAGGTCTCAAGGACCCCATCCGCTCGCTCTCTCTCGACGCCATCGCCACACACCAGCGATCCTCCCTCCGCCACAGCCGACCTACAGCTGCTGGCAGCATCCCAGAAGCCTCCGAAACTGACAACGCCGATGACGACGATAACTCCGCTTCTGCAGGCGGGGAGGACGATCGGCCATTAGGAGCAGCGGCACGGGCAGCAGCAGGAAACCCATCCCATGCATCAGACGCGTTTGAGGTGCCCAAGGAGGTGGCTCGAATGCTCACCTTCCTTCTGGACTCTGGCCAGGACATCTCCTCCGCCTTTGACCCCATCGCTCTCGGCATCGACCTCTCTCTTGACCAGGACGACAGCACCCGTGCGCCCCCCTTCCCCTCCTCGCACTCCACCCCGCACGGGCACCCTCACTCGCTCTCGCACGCTCGCAGCGCGAGTCTCTCGTCCGATGTGCTGTCTGCTGCGGTTAGTTCCCTCTCCACCACCCCGGAAAGCAGCTTCAATAGCAACCCTGGCAGCAGCAGCAGCCCTGGCGGCAGCAGCAGCTTCGCCAGGAGCAGCAGCAGTGCTGGGGTTGGTGCAGGCGGTGTGCTGCCTCAGCTATCCCGCACCTTGAGTCGGGGCGGGGTGGCAGGGCTCTCTACCGCTGCTGCTCTGGCTGTAGCTGCTGCTGCTGGCGCTGTGGGTGCCGCAGCAGGGGCAGTGGGCGCTGCTGCAGCAGACCTCGCAGCAGGAGGAGCCACGGCAGCAGGAGGAGGCGGAGCAGGAGGAGCAGGGGCAGGAGGAGCAGGAGGAGCAGGGGCAGGGGAAGGGGACGGGCCAGGGTCGACTCAGTTCCTAGCGGCCAAGGCAGCAGCACTGGGTGCAGTAGCTCAGGAGCTGCAGATTGCACCCATCCGTCTCGCACTCGACACCGGCACACCCTTCCCCACCGAAACCTCCCCGCTTACCATGGCTCGTGCGCTCGTCTCGTTCCTCTTGGCCCTTCCTGAGCCTATTATTCCCCCGAGTGTGGGGGAGGAGGTGGCGTGTAGGGAGGGGTGGGCAAGGGGTGCTGCGGCTACGCTGCTGGCGGAGCGGTTGGGTGCGGTGCAGCTGGGTGTGGTGGACTCGTTGCTGGCTCTCATCCAGGCGCTGCTGCGGAACCGCATTGCGAATCGACTCGCGATTCATGAGCTGGGTAAGGCGTACAGTGTACAGTGTACAGTCTACAGTGCTGCTTTTCATTTCGTGTGCTTATTTTTGTCGTTGTATTGTGTTTGTGTTTTCCATCTGTTTATGCGTGGTGGTGCTTCATTCTCATGACCCACCTCGGTGTGCCTGTACACGTCCATTGTGTTTTAAGGCACCTATTGCTTATGCGAAAGCCTGCCTGTTGTGTTTTAGTGCACCTTACATATCACATATGTGTGTACCTTGTGGGTTGGTTGCAGCTGCTATCCTGGCCTACTGCCTCTTTGGTCCTGTGCCGGCATTTACAAATGACGAGATGGGGATTGCGACTGCCACAGATGCTGGGAGGATTGTGAAGCGCCGGAGACGATTCATGCGCCTGCTGATTGAGGATACTCGGCTCCGTTCCAAGTGATTATCTGGAAGGGATGGTGGTTGCATGGGGCACACGGGGGGGGTATGCGGTGCAGGCCACATGAGAGGATTGCTTGTGAAGCGCCGCCGGAGAAGAACCATTGAGGATACTTGGCTCCGTTCCAGCGTAATTCTTTCAGCATAGATGCGGTTTCGCTTATGATACAATGCCTACAACAATCCTTTTGCTCACTGCATGTAACATACCGGTCGTATGGTTACCTCTTGCTAGCTGGGCACTTCATATGTAACCTCACATAACCTGCAAATTGTGCACTGTGCTTGCATGTTAGTAGTTGATCGTCTAAGGGCGTGTTCCTATGGCCTCGTATCAGGAAACCTCGTATCAAGAATGTACTTTTTGCCTGGTAAAGCTAGCGAGATTTTGGGTTTAGGGGAATTTTCAGTGTGAGCCTGATACGAGGTTCTCTTGATACGAGGTGTAGGAACATGCTCTAAGGGCGAGTTCCTATGACCCCTTATCAGGCCAACCTCTTATCAGACTCGCGCAGCGCGCTGCATCACACCCGCATAAACCCAAAGCTCTTCGCGCATTGTACCAGGCAAGTCTGACAAGAACAGAGACATAGGAACACGCCCTTGGGTACGGTACGGTACATGGATAGGTTCGAAATCGATGGAGTCTGATAGTTTGAGTTGACACCTTAAAGCAAGGGTGCACATTCCTAGGGGTGGTTTTTGGGTGCATTGTCAGCGCACACCCTTTGGCGCTTGCTGATTTGAGGGCGAATTGTGCAGGGCACGTAAAGCTGGTGCGAGGAATTGAAACAAGGCAGGCGATACAAACCAATTTCGCACGAAAGGTTGGGTTGGGGGAACACAGCGCGGGAAGGCGGAAATCAAGCGTTGGGATCCGACAAGCAAGCGGAGATAAAGCGAGTGATAAACCAGGGATAGCTTCAAGCTTAGAAACCACACAACTTCGAATCAAGGCAGCTACGCAAGCATTCCCTAAGCGCCACAACGATGTAGACCACGAGTAAAGTGTTCTTTCTTTCACGGATACATGGTTATGCCTCATCGCATGCCGCATGGCGACATCGCGGCTAGCTCGTGACGTCGTCGCCTGCGCGGCGCGTCGTTTTCCTGTCCTTGCTGCCTCCTCGTCGTTTCGCCACCTCACATCCTCTACAGCCTCTCGCCTCCCCGCCGAACTCGCCTCCCCCCTGCTTTGTGTCGTGGCCGTGCGACGCCTCGCCTTCTCGTCGGCGCATCGCCGCCAGATTGCCGCCACATCGCCGCCTCATCATCGCCGCCACATTGTTGACTCTACATAACGCGTCTCATGATCCGCATTTAGCGAATTGCTTGCTGGCCTAACGCCTTAGCTCTTCTAAAATCGCCTGACCAGCCGGCTCGCAATCTAAAGTAGCGCTTTCTTTGTTTTAGCGTATGTTCGCCCCCCCCTGCCCCTCCTCCCGCCCATCTGCTGCCTACCGCCCTCTCTTTCTCTCCCCATCCCTTCCCCCTCTCCTTTTGTGCTCCGCAATGCACCAGCTGACTATCCCGCGCTAATGTCAGCAAACCGGTCCCAATCGCCGCCACTCCCCAGATCCGCGCAGCAGTCCCCCTCTCCCCCCCGCGCGCGCGCCTCCGGTGGCGGCTCCGCCAGCCTGCTGCTGGCTGGCGCGGCACAGAGAGAGGTTTGGGGAGGTGGCGCTTGGGGATTGCGCGGAGGAGGGCGCGGGGAAGGACGGATGAAAGGGCGGGGGAGAGGGGAAAGGGGAGAGAGGAGGGCGGGGAGGTGTACGAGGAGGAGTGGGAGGAGGGAGGATGGCGGCGGGCCGGGGAGGGGGCATGGAGGAGGGGGAAGAGGGAGGAGACGAGGCGGTTGTGGGGTCATGCCCTGCCATGTGCCCTGGTATACCCATCCATCTCTCCCTCCTCTGCCTCCCTAGTTTCCCCCCTTTCCTCCTCTCTCCCCCATGTCCTCCTCTCTACCTCCTGCCCTCCTCTCTTTCCCCTCCCCCCCCTCTCATCCCGCCCTCCCCTCTATCATATCGCCCTCCCATCTCTCATCCCTTCCTCCCATCTCTCATCCCATCCTCCCTTCTCTCATCATTTCCTCCCCTCTCTCATCCCTTCCTCTCCTCTCTCATCCTGTCCCCCCCCATCCTTCTCTATCCCCCCTGTTCTCCTCTCTCCCCCCATCCTCTTCTCTCCCCCTTTGTCCTCCGCTGTCCCCCTGTCCTCCTCTCTCCCCCGAGCCCTCCCTTCTTCCTTCTCTTTCCCTCATGTCCCCCCTCCTTTCCCTTACATCCCCTCTCCTACCCCTCATTCCCTTCCCTTGTCCCCCCGTTTCTCCCTTTTCTTCCCCATTGCGCTCAGTTTCCCCCCTTGCGTGCCGTCATTTTCGCCGCCTCGCCCCTGTCCTTCAATCTCCCCCCAGCTCAAACCCATGCACTCAGATTCCCCTCCTGTTTGCACTCATTTCACCCCTCCTCCCCCCCCCCTGCTTCCCCTCATTTCCCCCCCTGCTTCCCCTCATTTCCCCCCCTGCTTCCCCTCATTTCCCCCCCTGCTTCCCCTCATTCCCCCCCTGCTTCCCCTCATTTCCCCCCCTGCTTCCCCTCATTTCCCTCCAGGTCGCACTTCCCCTCCCCCCAGGTCGCACCTTCCCGTTCCCCCTCACAGAGCACCTTCTCACTCCCTCACAATGCACTACTCCTCCCTTCCGTACGCTTCCATTCCCCTCCAATCCCTTCCCTTATCTTTCCCCTTACCTCTATTCCTTTCCCTTCGATTCCCTTCCCTTCCCTTCCCTTCCCTTCCCTTCCCTTCCCATCCATTCGCGTCTCTTCACCTCCCTGCCTCCCTTATTTATCTCCCTGCCTTCCCATCTCTCCTCCCTGCATCACCAAGTGAGTGTGCTACCTCCACTGGTGTCCTGCTATGTGTAGGACGAAACCGTGCCTTCACATGTTTCGTGGCGCAAGGGTGCAGCAGCAGGCGCAAGAGCACTTAGAGGAGCTGAGGCACTAAGTGGAGTGGTGGCGCACTGTTTTGTTCTCTATGTATAGCAGTGATGCAAAAGGAGACCTTCACAGAAAACCAAACATTTAGATATCCCGAACTTGAAAATGAATGTATATTCTGTTGTGAATAACATGACATCCACGTAGGCTCAAATGTGTTGGGAACAAACAATCTTAAGCGCCTCTGTCGTGTCGAAACACCAAGGCACAAGCGAAGCAGAGCATATCGAGGCACCAGCGAGTCAACCCTCGGAGGTTGAAGTAACCGCTGGAGGTTACGCGAAAGTCAAAGGTCAGCGACCTTTGACTTGACAAATGCAGCGCGACAGCAAGGACACACAACTGACTCGACATTGAGCAGTTGCCCGAGTCGCACTGTATCGAACCGCAACAGTAAAACAGTTTAATTATATCTCTTCGTATTCTTTGTACTCTTATATAAACCTTTGTACTTGCTTGTTTTAATCAACTTACTTTGCCCTCACATACCAGCGCAAGGTGGTTCAAGGACTTCATTTAAACGCTTCCGCTACTACATCACTCTACCCAGAGTTTAACCCTACCAAAGATCCTAAGGGGCACTCAGCCCAACATGGTATGAGAGCTGGTTAGGGTCAAAATTATTTCTCCTTAACACCTAATACACCAAGAGACATGTCTACCAGAAAGGAGAGGAGCTCCTCCAACGGCTCTCCTGGTACTACTCCTACTCCACCTCCTGCCTCTGGCCTACAGACAGAGGAAGGCACAACAACGAGACCGGCAGCTGGGTCTATTGAAACACCCGCAAACCAAGGCGCGGGCTTCGATCCAAGCATGATGGAGAAGTTCTTCTCCTTCATGTCCTTCTACGAGCAGCATCAGCAAGGAGCACCTGCGCAATCAAACAACAGCAACAACAACAACAACAACGTGACGCCCATGAGTCTCGATGGCTCATCCTACGCACGCGGGAATCAACAACAGCAACCTACCTTCGCTCCGTACGAGCCCCAGCGCGGCTCCGTCAGCTTCATGCCACAACCACAACCTGCACCGGGACAAGAGAGAACGCTGGACGCACTACAAGTTCAGTCGCAGTTCGCGCACGTTCTAAAACTGCAAACGACAAAACCCTTCGACGGGAAGGATTTCTTTACCTGGTCGTTCGAATTCGAGCTGATGATGGAAGGAGCGCAAATCCTTGGCTTCTTCGACGGGTCCCTGCCATACCCAACAAACGGCACACAGTATGAGAAGCAGCAGTACACCTATCAATCGATGATGGCGTACACGATACTACTGAGGAACATCACTCCAACTCAACAACAAAACATACGGTCTTACCGAGGCTACGGCAACTCCGCGGAGCTCGCGTACAATCACTTGAAGAGCCTGTATCAAGCAACAGACAGCGTAAACCGAAGTCGGTTAATGGCGCAGCTGACAACAATCGAAATGAAACCAGGCGAGAAGGGAATGGCGTATATCAGTCGCTGCCGCGAGCTGCGCGACAAGCTTCTTCGATGTGGAGGATCGATTTCAGAGGACGCCTTCGTCACGGTTGTCATCGGCGGTCTTGGTCCTCACTGGCGCTCCACTCGCGCCATACTACGAGCCCACGGGAAAATTTCTGAAGCAGCACTTTGCGCCGAAATCCACGCCGAGCAGCAAGACATGGACCTGCAAGAAGAACGACACAAGAGAAAGGTATCAGTGCCCGAATTCGCGTTTCACACTCAACGGCGCCACAACAACAACAACAATCGACCGAAAATCGTACCTCCGTTCTGCCACCTCTGCAAGACTTCAGGGCATCCTCGTACGCACTGCCCGAATCGACAACAGTCAACGTCGCCGCAACGCCAACTTCGCCCTTCAAGCAGTCAAGTCGCCTCAACGCAAGCAAATCCGACAACTTCAGTACAAGTCTCAACAACATCGACGGGACAACCTGCGAAAGGAACAAGAAACATCGTCAGCTGCATGGCAAGGCTGAGTGACTCCTGCGTAACTGAGTCACCACCATATTACTCACCAGAAGAACAACTCGACAACAGCACGCCTCGCCGCGAGTCACTTCAACCGAACCCGACGTACGCCGCCATCGCTCAAAGCGAGCCGTCCGGGAAGGATACATGGTTCTTGGACAGTTGCTGCGGACAACATATGTGCTCTTCAAGACGTTTCGTTCAACGCGAGCACCAACTTCAACGAGAAGTCGTCATCACTGTCGCCAATAATCAGAACCTGCGCACACGACGACAAGGAGTAGTGCAACTTCAGTCACGAGAGACGAATGTCATACTGCAAATGTCCAAAGTCCTAATAGCAGAAGGACTTGGCTACAACTTACTGAGCGTCAGTCAGTTGATGGCGAAAGGCATACATCTGGAAGCCGAAAGTACCACCCAGGAGTTCAAGCTGTACCACGGGAAGGGTGGCCTCTACATCGGAAAGGCGGTCCTGAAGAACAATGTCTTCGTTCTCGATTTCGTCCCAGACCTGGGCACCGCAGACAATGACGGGATCGTCACCTTCACATCTTGGACGCACCCGCCGGATCTCGACCCCGACTTCAGTCCGGAAGGCTTTTGGTATTCACATACCATTCCTGAAGCAGAACGAACACGTGCGTTAGTAACAATACAACATTCGGCAGCAGCAGAGACAACATCGGCAGCAACAGAGACAACATCGGCAGCAGCAGAGACAACATCGGCAGCAACAGAGACAACATCGGCAGCAGCAGAGACAACATCGGCAGCAACAGAGACAACATCGGCAGCAGCAGAGACAACATCGGCAGCAGCAGAGACAACATCGGCAGCAGCAGAGACAACATCGGCAGCAGCAGAGACAACATCGGCAGCAGCAGAGACATCATCGGCAGCAGCAGAGACATCATCGGCAGTAGCAGGAACAACAACAGTAGCAGCAACAACGACACCACTCCTCGTTGACGAAGCACCACCAACACCCGCACAGCAGCTGAATCCGGCTCAACGGGAAGTCCATAGAAGCGCAAACTTCACCGCCAGCTTCTACTCCAACTCCGACGCGTATCGACGCTCACCCGGACACCGCGCCTCCGAAGACATCTGGCACGCACGCATGGGACACCCAAGCAACACTGTGTTAAACAACACAATAAGAGCAGGAGTCCTTGACAAGGACTCGTTACTACTACTCGACGGCAGAGAACTTCAACGGGCACGAGGAACATGTCTTACCTGCCCCGAAGCCGACTTACCACATCGGCCGTTCACTCCTCATCACAACCCGAGCACACCCGCGTACGCACCACTCGAAAAGGTGTATAGCGACATCCTGTACAATCGGGAACCGGGACAAGTAATATACAACTACACAATCACCTTCATCGACGCCGCCACCCGTTACGTCTGGCATCTAAACCTACCCAGCCGCGACATGGTCCTCGAAGCATTCGCTGCTTGGCTACCAGTAGCAGAAAGAGAGTCGGGCGTAAAGCTGAAAAGCTTCCAGTCTGACGGAGGAGGAGAATACACCTCTCAGCGATTCAAGCAGTACCTGGCGGAAAGGGGAATCAAGCAGCTCCTCTCTCTTCCCTACGCCCATCAGCAGCAAGGTGTAGCAGAAAGAATGAACAGGACTCTGCAGAACAGCATGCGCAAACTGTTGCGTGGCATGCGGCTACCCAACCACCAGTGGCCTGACGCGATGGACCACGCTGTCATGCTGCACAACTTGCTCTCATCTTCATCACTACCGAACAACGCATCACCGCATCTGCTGTGGACAGGAAAACAGGGCAGCACAAAAATGTTACGAGTGTTCGGATGCATCGTACAGTACCGACCCCCAGCAGCACGAGCGGGCCGATTTTCACAACGCGCACAGTGGGGACTACACCTCGGCATCGAAAAGAACTACAACGCGTGGAAAATCTTTGACGTCCACTCCAAGGAAACAGTAGCAGCACGCGACGTCATTTTCTACGAACGACTCACGCTCCAGACATACCTTGCCAACCTGCAAGAGGACCAAGATCCCACAGGTGGTTTTCGTGGGGACCGAGCCTTCGCCTTGGCAGCAGACGAAGCTGACTGGGACGAGCAGAATGTGGCCAACGCATCAGAAGAAGCTGGACCCCTTCCGCTCTGCTCCGTCGACGTCCCCATGGACGAAGATAACCCTCGCGAAAGTGTCAACGCCGAAACCTTCTACTACTTCGCCGACAACGGTTACGTAACACCTGCGACAGTCAACACCAACGAAGCAGAACGAGTAGGACCAAATTTCATACCTGATCCAGAAGCGGGAGATGAAGCAGCTTATCCCGAGGATGCAACTCTTCCCCGCTACTCACAGACTGGACTGCAGATTCTCGGACTCGTCACCGCAGTCCACGGCAACACTCTTCCTAAGGAGCCTGCGACGGTTCAGCAGGCTCTGGGGGGGGAACACAGGGAAAAATGGCGTGAAGCCATGGACAGAGAGTTAAAGGCGCTGGAGGAACGGAACACCTGGAAAGTTGTCCCCATCAGCGTGGCAAGGAACAAGACCATTCTCACCGGGAAATGGGTCTTCCGCATTAAAACAAAAGCAGACGGCACAATTGAGAAGTTCAAAGCACGCTGGGTTGTGCGTGGATTCGATCAGGAGCACGGACGGGACTTCACCGAGACATTCGCCCCGGTTAGCCGACATACCTCACTTCGAATCCTCCTCGCGATCGCCGCCATGAAGAAAAGGAAGCTACGGCAAATCGATGTCGCCAACGCGTTCCTCTACGCACCTGTCGACGTGGAAATCTTCGTCGAGCTCCCACACGGTACCAACGGGGAACCTAACCAAGTCTGTCAACTGCTGAAATCACTTTACGGGATCAAGCAAGCTCCGCGGCTATGGCAACAGTACCTACACGCTCGCCTCATTCGCATCGGATTCCGCCAACTACCTCACGACCAAGGAATGTACCGACTCACTAAAGACACCGACTACATTCTGCTGATCGTCTACGTAGACGACCTACTCTACATCGGCTCCATTGACGACATCACCACCTGGTTCGAAGGGGAGATACAGAGGGACCTCACACTCACGGTCTCCTCTACCGTCACACAGTACCTCGGCTTGAACATTCGGGAAGAAGAAGGCGCGATCTACCTCAACGCCGCTAAGTACGCCGACACCATCGCCAAACGCTTCGCGCTCACACCTACCACCATCTCTACGCCCTACCACTACGCGACAGGAAACCACAAGGAAGGATCCTCTCTACTCAAATCCGCCGGGATACGCGACTACCAGAGAAAGCTAGGATGCCTTCTCTTCGCAGCTGTCACCTGCCGCCCCGACCTCTCATACTCCGCAAGCTAGCTCGCCACCTACCTCAAGAAGCCTGAAGAAGAACACCTGGCGGAGCTCGACCGCGCTCTCCACTACTTCGTTAGTACCTCAACGACCGGCCTAACTTACTACAAGAACACAACTACACCGACTAAATTAATCGGCTACGTCGACGCTGATCACGCTGGCGACTCCGACAACAGGCGCTCCCGCACCGGCTACATCTACCGCCTCGAACCTATCGGACCGATCTCCTGGCAATCGAGCAAGCAGGAATTAATTGCTCTCTCGTCAGCTGAAGCAGAATATATTGCACTCTGCTCAGCCACCAAGGAAGGACTCTATCTTCGCGAGCTGCTGGAAGAAGCGAAGTTAGCCGAGTTACCCAACTTCACTCTGTTCTGCGACAACCAATCTGCAATTCGCATCGCCAACAAAAATGGATTCGCGAACAGAACGAAGCATATCGCTCTGCGATATTTCTTCGTGAAAGACGAGATTGAGAAGGGGAGACTTGAACTATCCTACTGTCCCACGTCCGAGATGGCAGCTGACTACTTGACCAAGAAGCTCGGAAAACAGAAGTTCGAGTACTGCACGCTGCTGACTGGACAAAGCCACGTCACCAGCAGCGACACTCCAGAAGCGAAGGGGAGTGTTGGGAACAAACAATCTTAAGCGCCTCTGTCGTGTCGAAACACCAAGGCACAAGCGAAGCAGAGCATATCGAGGCACCAGCGAGTCAACCCTCGGAGGTTGAAGTAACCGCTGGAGGTTACGCGAAAGTCAAAGGTCAGCGACCTTTGACTTGACAAATGCAGCGCGACAGCAAGGACACACAACTGACTCGACATTGAGCAGTTGCCCGAGTCGCACTGTATCGAACCGCAACAGTAAAACAGTTTAATTATATCTCTTCGTATTCTTTGTACTCTTATATAAACCTTTGTACTTGCTTGTTTTAATCAACTTACTTTGCCCTCACATACCAGCGCAAGGTGGTTCAAGGACTTCATTTAAACGCTTCCGCTACTACATCACTCTACCCAGAGTTTAACCCTACCAAAGATCCTAAGGGGCACTCAGCCCAACAAAATGGAGAGGGTCCACACTATCCTAAGATCGACTATTGGTAGTTGCCATCTTGTTTGCTTCATGCACAATTACCTGCACCACAGAAGGGAGTGGGGAGGTGCGAAGGAGCAGACAGGGGAGCATAAACAGATTGTAAGATAACGAGTGGCATAGGGACAACGAAGGGGAGAGCAAGAACAGGGGAAAAGAAAGAGTGAGCAGGGGGGAACTAAGGGTAAGCAGCGAAAAAGAAAGAGTGAGCAGCTGGGGAGGTGGAGGGCGCGGCATTGACAGCAGTGACGGGTGGGACGGAGCTTTGAGGGCCAGAAGATTGGTTGCCAGGACTTGCAATTGATGGGGTGGAGGCGGCGAGAAAGGGATGGGGGCCAAGAGAGGAAGGAGAGGCGAGTGAGGGAGGAGGCGTGGAGGGAAGGGAGAGAGTGCAGGAGCGGAGGCAGTGGGAGGACGGAAGGGAGTAGAAGGGAAGGGAGTGCGGCGTCGCAAAGGGAGGGGATGGGGAGGCAGATGTGCGTGGGAGGGGGTTCTATCAAGCCACGATGAGTACAGAGAGTGGGGATAGGACACAGAAGCACGACATAACAAGGAGGGTAAACGGGTCTGAGAGAAGAGCGGTGATAGGGCCAGGACACGGGAGTGGGGGTGGGGAGGAGGGAGAGCTGGACAGACACGAGAGAGTGAAAGAATGACGGGGAGAGAGAAATGACGGGGAGGTGAGGAAACAGAGAGAGGAGAGTGATGACAGGGCGCGGTTTTCTTGACAGAGTGGGAGATTTGAGAAGCAGGGAGAGAGCACGGGTGGGGCCATTTTGACAGGAAACTCATGTATGGCGTGAGTGGTTGATGGCAGCCGCCCTTCCACCTGCTGCCCCACCCTCTGCCGCTCCTCCCTCTCTTACCCCACCCTCTGCTTCTCCACGTCGCACTTGGAAATATGGGAATGTCGGCAACAACAAATTGTGGCACCTGTTTATCAACGAGCTACTCTTACGCCAGACGTCCATCCATCTGGTGAACCAGGAGGGTGACGGCAGAGGGCAGGACAGGGGTGAAGAGAAGGTGAGTTGCGTGGGGAGATAGGGGGGTTTGAGAAGGGTGTAAGGCAGAGAGGGGAAAGGGGGAAGAAGGGTGAGGGGATAGGACAGGGCGGAGTGAGGTTGTAGGATAGGGTGGAGAGGAGGGATAGGAGAGGGCAGAGAGGGGGGAAAGAACAGGGAAAACAGGGGGGAAATGGAAGGATGGGGAGAGAGGGCAGGGAGGGGTGAGGGGAGTTTGAGAGGGGAGTAAGGTATAGAAAGGGGTACAGCAGAGGGGCTGCAACATGGGGTGAAAAGACAGGGGAGGGGTGAAATGAGAGAAGGGAGGGGCTTGAAGGGAGAGAGGGAAGGGAGGATCGAGAGAGCAGGGAGTGGAGTGAGAGAAGATTGAGAGAGGGGACAGGGAGGGGAGAGAGGGACGCACGCATGATGGCATGAATGCACTCCCTCTCCCTCTAAAATCTCCCGGACGTGTTTATTCCGCCTACTGCCCATCATGGCTCCCGCTGCCGTTGCCACTGCAGCGCTGCCTGCTGCAGCGAGACCGCTAGTTACTGGCGCTCCTGCTTACGAGGATTCTCTGCTTCGATATAGCGCAGGCGCTCCGCAGATTCAGCGCAGTTGGTGCAGTCGGGTCAGTCGGCGCGGGGCTAGCGCGGGCGCGGGTGTGCGCTCGCGCGGAGGGGAGGACGGCGGGGGCAGCGGACGTTGAATGCGGGTCCAGCGATCAGATTCTCTATATCGAAGGTGCGCAACACGAACATGAACGAAACGTTGTGGGGAGGGAGAGGGCGACGGGAGGGGGAAGGCGAGGTCGACGGGAGGGGGAAGGCAGGTCGACGGGGAAGCAGGTGGAAGCGGCTCCTTCCGTCCCCCTCGAGCCCCCCCCCCTCCCCGTCGCTCCTCACTCCAGTCCGCCACGCGCGCGAGACTGCTCCTTGATCCCGTCTGCCCCTTGCGCAAATACGCTGCTACCTCCCGTCCACGCCTTGCCTTAAACCGCTGCTCCCTCCCTTCGCGTGTTCCTCCCGCGTAATCGCGGCTCACTCCCGCGCAACGGGGCGAAGCAGGGGAAACGGCGAGCATCGAGCGGAGCTGCACTAGTGGCAACACTGAAAGCGGGGTGCGGAAAGCAGGAGCGAATGCGCTGAGCTGAAAGCGGGGAGCAGGATGCAGCGAGCAAGCCCCTTGCGACGCGTTGGTTGCAACGAGCAACGTCAGTTCTGCGGCGACCGTCGCCGAGTGGGCTGCGACACGCGGCGACTAGCGGCCATTCGAGCTTCGAGCTGTAAGCGGAAGGCGACGCGGGAGGACGATGATTATAAGACTACAAATGGCATCAACACGCCTACGAACGATGACTTGAATGGCTCGCTATCGGCCAGCGACGAACTGCGACATTTGAACCGTGGCAATCTATCCGTCTCTTTTGACAAATAGCGAGATGTTCTAAACTCTTACCGAGTCTAACGCTTCCTAAGGCTAATAAGAGGTCATTGGCGGGCCCTCTGCTTTTGTGGCTGGGTTGTTGTGGAGCGAGTTTTGGTACACAAATTCCATTGCAGTACTAGCAAGTTCCCAACCCAGTTTCCTTCGCGCACAACTGACAGGGGGGAACACCTCGTCGCTCTCTGCAGGGGTTGGGGCATAATTGTCGCCCTCCACTTCCTGCCACAAACCCGGTAACCACCCAGAGGCAAGTGATAAACCTTTGCCTCCACCCCCCCCAAAGTGCACCCTTGCTTTAATTCTTACGGTATGTTAACATGCAGATGCCACACTCCGTTATCAAAATCAGGCCGTGCTGCTGATTGTCAATCACCCCAAAAGGGGGTGATGACAGACAGGCATCAGACATTTATGGATGTCCCTAACGCTAGACATGTATGTGAGTGACCCACCTTCGTGTCGCCAAGTACCGTAGATCTCTGAGCCCAGAACCAATCGGAGGGTCTAGTGCGATGTGAATATGATCTGTAAGCCTTCCTCAAATGGACCGGAGAAATATTTATTGACCGATTGAGTTGGATTTCCCATAATTGGATTATTTGAGACGTTTTGTGCCTTTGGACAGATAAAGTGGCCAGAAGTTAAGGGCCATGCGAAACATTTGTGACCTTTGCAGCAGAATCCCCTGCACAGCACCAAAAGAAGGTTTAGGGCAGAAAAAAAAAGGGTTGGGGAATGCAAGCAAATGGGGTATCGTATCAATTAGTACTGGTTCCGGTCGCGGTGAAAACATGGAAAGGGGTTGATGTAGAGGGGCAACTGTTGGGCATACACAGAATGAAGGATGAGTCATATGGACGTTGAGTGAGACGGAACAAAAGCATACACAGAACAAGCTGATGCGGAGAAGTTGTGTGCTTCAGTAAAACGCACAGTATTCCTGATAGAAGACACTTATTCAGATGGCAAGAAAACATCGTCTTTGAATCAGGTCAGAGGTACATTCCCTCCTCCTCGCCCCACATTCCACATGCATCACACCACATCCGATCATCCCACTCGCTTGCCCATACCTGCAGGGCTTGCCCGTACCTGCAGGGCTTGCCCATACCTGTAGGGCTTGCCCGTACCTGCAGGGCTTGCCCATACCTGCAGGGCTTGCCCGTACCTGCAGGGCTTGCCCGTACCTGCAGGGCTTGCCCATACCTGCAGGGCTTGCCCATGCCTGCAGGGCTTGCCCATACCTGCAGGGCTTGCCCATACCTGCAGGGCTTGCCCATACCTGCAGGGCTTGCCCATACCTGCAGGGCTTGCCCATACCTGCAGGGCTTGCCCATACCTGCAGGGCTTGCCCATACCTGCAGGGCTTGCCCATACCTGCAGGGCTTGCCCATACCTGCAGGGCTTGCCCATACCTGCAGGGCTTGCCCATACCTGCAGGGCTTGCCCATGCCACTCCAGGCATGAGCCCATCATCCCACCCGCAAACAGCCATGGCCCTCCTTCCCCATGCATCCATGCTCACTGCTGCACTCCCTCCCCAGCACCCTACCCCACCTGGAAGCTTGCCCATCACACCCCCATCACCTGTTAGGGTTGGTTCGCCCAACCACGGAACCTAAGGCGAAAGCACCCACGACGGCGGAATGATGGCGAAATGGAAGCGCGTGTGTGAAACGGTGGGAATCGGCCTACGGTGGGGAATAGAGGCTACGGCGTGAGAAGCGGGAGAGAAATCGAGAAGAAATGTGCTAGAAGGAGGGAGAGAGAAGGAGAAGCATCGAGAATGAGATTGACGAAGGGAAAAATTGGCTTCGAGACCAAGGCGCGTTCGAGAAAGTTCGGGATTCGAACTTGCGGAGTGTTCACCGAATTCGGTTCGGTTGCGTGTGCGACTAGGGGTGAAACGAGGCGCACGCGGTTACTTGGGAAACAAGTGAAGTTACGAATCGCATTTTGTGTCTTGCTTGACTATAAACCTGTTTGTACTCATTCTGGAAATACAACATTGATACCAATCAGATTCTGAAAATTGCTGAAGTGTGTATTGACAACTTCAAGCAGAGCTGCGCATATCATTGGATTCGGGAGATCGTGGAGAACACGATAGGCGATAGCAAGTAGACTATTGCCGACTAAGGTGCTTACGATCCTGAGAACTGGTATCAGAGCTGGTTTAAGTGGCGTTTAAGCATTCTTAAGTGCAGAGCGAAGCTTTCGAGATGGTCGGCGGACAATCGGAAGCTAGTTCGGGCTCCTCTGTGAGTATTGGAGATCCCCAAGTGAAGGCACTTCTGGAAATGCTAGCGCAAGGAGGGGTGGTGACAAAGCCCACCATGGGGCTCAGTGAAGCCCAACGATTCCACGGCCAACACTACAGCACGTGGAGATTGAAGTTCATAAGGAGGGCGAAGGAAGTCGGTTTTTGGGAGTACTACCGACCGGATGGAGAAGGTGACGTAGCCGCGCGTAAGGCGAGATCGGATGAAGAAAAGGCGGAATACAAGAAGAGGAGTAAGCATGCGTTTTTTCAGTTATGTCATTCCGTTGCAGACGGAATTGCAGTGGGTTTGGACGAATTTGCAGAGCGCGAGAACTCTGCACAGGCGGCATGGGCTTACATGGAGTCTACATACCTCAGGCATATGGACGCAAACATCGCCGACGCAAGGAAGAAGTTGCTGCTGATGACCATGGAGCCGAACCAGAAGATTATTGACTACGTCAACATGGCGAGGAGCTACAATGATGACTTGACTGCGATGGGCGAGCCGGAAACTGAAAGGGCGATGATAGGGCACATCGTCAACGGGCTACCTGAAGATTGGGCGGGTGAGCGGCCGGCGTTGATCTGCCACCCACCGGAGAATATGACGAAGCTTATTGCCATGCTTCAGGCGTTGGAGAGAGCAAGAGAGCATCAGAAGCGACGGGAGAAGTTTACAAGGGGCTTTGTGGAGGAGAAGCCTGCGTTGGTGAACGCGGCAGCTGCTGGAAGGAGCTCGGGAGCGTGCTACCAGTGTGGACAACTCGGGCATCGTGCGTTTGAGTGTGTGGAGAACCCGAGGAGTAGAAACTACAAAGGGAACGGTGCGGGATGGAGTGGTGGACAGCAACACGGAAGGTTCAATGGTGCGTGCCATCACTGCAAGAAAATTGGGCATCGTGCAATTGATTGCTACTTGAATCCCAACGGCCGTAACTACAAAGGACCGTTGAAGCAGGAGCAGCAGCAGAACGTGGAGGCCAAGGCTAACGTGGCGGAAGCGGAGAAGGAAGAAGAGGATCCGATTTTGGGGGGAGCACATCTTGCGAACGTGGTGCGTTTACCAATGGAGGTTCGGCAGACGGACGGACGTGAGAAGACGACATGGTTCATGGACAGCGGATGCACGCGTCACATGACATTCAGGTCAGATTGGATGGAGAATGTGAGGGAGTCGAGTGAGGATTATATACTGCAAGGTAACAGTGGAAAGTTACCAGTGACAGGAGAGGGTGACGTGGTGCTGCAGAGTCCGTATGGAGTAGTGAAACTGGAGAGTGTGTTGCTGGTTGCGGATTTGAAGGTGAACTTGGTCAGTCAGTCACAGCTTGATGACTTGGGGTGCAAGATATTCTATGACAGTGGTGAGGTGACTGTGTTTGGTCCTGAGTGGGAGAAGTATGCTGATGGTTACTTCAGTGACGGGTTCTATGAGATGAACTTGGTCGCGACGAATGATATGGATGAGATCTATGAGGATCCTGAGATCACCCATATCCCTCATCCCACCCCACCCACCTAGCATCACATCTCATCCCACCCACCTAGCATCACATCTCATCCCACCCCACCTAGCATCACATCTCATCCCACCCACCTTGCACGTTGGCCATGATCCACGCGGGCTTCTGGCGAAAAAATCTCTGGTGCCGCCTGACCATCCCACCTGGAGTGCTTGGCTTGGCCCCCATGCTCGCCCCACCATACCTGAAGCGCTTGACCATCCTTCCTTCATCCCATCCCACCCACCTGGCGTGTTTGGCCATAGTCCAGGCGAGCTTCTGCCGAAATTCCCGCTGCTGCCACCTGATCTCCGCCTCCTCGGCGCGCAGCCGCTTCAGCTCCGCGCCCTTCCAGTAGTGCGACCTCGCCCGAGCCACGCAGATAGCATTGTCCGTTCGTAAATTTATCTTGAACCTGCAAAGAGAGGGGGGGAAGAGGGGGGCGAGGGGGGGGAGAGGGGGGAGCGCAGCCGCTTCAGCTCCACGCCCTTCCAGTATTGCGCCCTCACCCCCGCCACCCTTATGGCGTTGACCGTGCGTAGCTTGATCTTGAACCTGTAAGCGGGGGAAGGAAAGGGCTGGGAAGGGAGAAGAGGGAGCAGCAAAGGCATAGGAGTTATCTCCGCGGCATTGCCCGCGCCACCCTTATGGCGTTGTCCGTGCGTAGCTTGATCTTGAACCTGTAAGCGGGGGAAGGGAAGGGCTGGGAAGGGAGAAGAGGGAGCAGCAAGGGCATAGGAGTTATCTCCGCGGCATTGCCCGCGCCACCCTTATGGCGTTTTCCGTGCGTAGCTTGATCTTGAACCTGCAAGGATGGGGAGAGGGGAGGAGCGACAAGGGCATGGGAGTGGCATTGAGTATCCGTGTGGCATTGACCATCTGTGTGGCATTGACCATCCGTGTGGCATTGACCATCCGTGTGGCATTGACCATCCGTGTGGCATTGAGCATCCATGTGGCATTGAGCATCCGTCTGGCATTGACCATCCGTGTGGCATTGACCATCCGTGTGGCATTGACCACCCACAACTCTAAACCAGCATGCAGACAATTTGAGCATTCAAAAGCATACAACTTTCTCGAGTCGCATGCCTTCACACACGCTCGGGTCGCAAGAGCGCAGAAACTCAGCCTGTGCCTGCTCTACTCTCAAGGTGACGTTTGAGTTGACTCAAAAGTCACCTTAGACTGATCCTGCTCTGCTCCACGAGGCTGTGTCACAGTGCTGCTACCCGAGCCTGTTCCCCGATCTGTCTTACAAGGTTGTTGGGTCCTACACGTGAGAAGCGAGCGAGTCAGAGCGTGGGTGGGTGAAAGCACGGGTGGGTGAGAGCATGGATGGGTGAGAGCATAGGTGGGTGAGAGCATGGGTGGGTGAGAGCATGGGTGGGTGAGAGCATGGGTGGGTGAGAGCACGGGTGGGTGAAGGAATATATTAAAGAGCGTAGCGATAGCGAGAGAGTTTCTGCTATGGGAATGATGTTGCGCCAGCAACTTGGTCGAGTTTCGATAGCGTTTGTCTCTAAGGACTTAGTGAGAATTGAAGTAGCATTTTGGGCCAAGTAGAATTGCAATATCAACCATGAAATACAAAGCAAACACACAAGATAGATATAGGCTACGGGGAGGTTGACAAAGTTGGTGTGGCGCTGCGGAGTAACCCAACCCCACGAAAGTGGTGTGTGGGTGAGCGAACGCGCCTCGCCAATTTCCCAACCCACCTCAGCAGCGAAAGTCACTGCCGAGCACGCCAGTTCTCCCAGCACAGCTGGAAGTAGTGTGACCAAGCAAGAAGTACCCACAACTACCAAGACTAGCTAGGAAGTGGCTGAATCATTCCCACAACTTCCCTAGACTAGCACCACCCCAGCAACGACTTTATTAGCGCCATTATAGTCACACGACGTCATCACGCTAGTATCGCCAAGTCACAGGGTTGGTGCTGGGCTGCTCGTAGTCTTGCTTAGTCGGTCGTCAACCTGCCAAGTCAGGAATATTGCGAGGGCCCTTGCTGTCGTAGGGCCCTCTAACAAGAGCATGGGTGGGTGAGAGCATGGATGGGTGAGAGCATGGATGGGTGAGAGCATGGGTGGGTGAGAGCATGGGTGGGTGAGAGCATGGGTGGGTGAGAGCATGGGTGGGTGAGAGCATGGGTGGGTGAGAGCATGGATGGGTGAGAGCATGGGTGGGTGAGAGCATGGGTGGGTGAGAGCATGGGTGGGTGAGAGCATGGGTGGGTGAGAGCATGGGTGGGTGAGAGCATGGATGGGTGAGAGCATGGATGGGTGAGAGCATGGATAGGTGAGAGCATGGATGGGTGGGAGCATGGGTGGGTGAGAGCATGGACGGGTGAGAGCATGAGTGGGTGAGAGCATGGATGGGTGAGAGCATGGGTGGGTGAGAGCATGGATGGGTGAGAGCATGGACGGACAAACAAGCCAATGCCTGACCTATCCTTCCCTCTCCCCCATGCCTCACTTTTTACTTCAAGCCTAACTCACTTCTTAATAGCTCAATCCACATCGCCTCTCAACGAACACGCCCCTCGCCTGCTCCGCGCCCCCATTGGTGGCTTCCTCATGCCTCACTCACCCTCTCCTCTGTCCCCAATAGCTCACCCTCTCACCCTCTCCCCCCACTGGGGCGTGTGGCATTTCCTAAAAGTGGTAAAAGTCCAGACAACTGTCCAAGAACGGTTCGATTACCGAATATCGGACGGTCCTAGTCCAACGTCCAGACTGAGCCTCGTCCGGACGTAGGTTATGACACTTTTTTCAAACTTACGAAATTTGGAATACTGACGAGATTGTAACCAGGACAACGATGCCATCGCGATATAGGTAACGTCCAAGCGACACGCGGAGAAGAATTCGTCGGCCAGTGAAATCGCGTTACTGTTGCGACCGTCCGCATTTCGAACAGTATGCGTCCGGACAATTTGAGAGGGCAATATATGCAAAAAGTTCCATCTGAAGTCCGGTCGTTTGCGACGTCGCATGGGTCCTAACGAAAAACCCTACGAGAACTAACGAAGCGGGTAACCCTTAAGATGTCCGGACCAAGTCTTATCCGGACGGGCAAGATGGGAAAATGTCACACGCCCTAACTCACTTCTTGATGGCTCGATCCAAGTCGCCCTATTTTCTCAGGATCGTAAGCACCTTAGTCGGCAATAGTCTACTTGCTATCGCCTATCGTGTTCTCCACGATCTCCCGAATCCAATGATATGCGCAGCTCTGCTTGAAGTTGTCAATACACACTTCAGCAATTTTCAGAATCTGATTGGTATCAATGTTGTATTTCCAGAATGAGTACAAACAGGTTTATAGTCAAGCAAGACACAAAATGCGATTCGTAACTTCACTTGTTTCCCAAGTAACCGCGTGCGCCTCGTTTCACCCCTAGTCGCACACGCAACCGAACCGAATTCGGTGAACACTCCGCAAGTCCGAATCCCGAACTTTCTCGAACGCGCCTTGGTCTCGAAGCACATTTTTCCCCTCGTCAATCTCATTCTCGATGCTTCTCCTTCTCTCTCCCTCCTTCTAGCACATTTCTTCTCGATTTCTCTCCCGCTTCTCACGCCGTAGCCTCTATTCCCCACCGTAGGCCGATTTCCACCGTTTCACACACGCACTTCCATTTCGTCGTCATTCCGCCGTCGTAGATGCTTTCGCCTTAGGTTCCGTGGTTGGGCGAACCAACCCTAACAATCTCCCCTGTGGTTCGTCAACCACGAACACCACTCGCACTGCTCCCATGCTCCTTGTAGCCTTCACAGGGTCTAAGTCGGCTTCACGCTCCCCTGCAGCTCCTGCACCTTGAACCTCTGCTTATGTGTCTTGTAGTTGAGCGCCTTGACATCCAAACCTTGAGAGATTTTCTTATGCCTCTTGCTTCTCCTCGGCATCTTTACACCCAACACCTCTCGGGTCTCGTACCCTTCAACGCGTTCATCCTCCTTAAGCACTTGCCCCTTTGCAGTTGCATTCGCCTTTGATCCTTTCACCATGATGTCCCCTTTCACAGCTTCAACTCCCACATACTTCGCATTTACTGCTTCATCTTCAACCACGATCGCTGCTGCAAAAGTGTTGACATCGTCTCCATCTCCACCGTTTACTGCTGCTGCATCCGTGATCACTATCTCCTCTTCCTGCTTCACTGCTGCCTCCACACTCGCAGCCATATCATCCGAGTCCTCACTCTCATCAACCTTAGTCAATAACTCCTCCAGTTCTCCCATCTCACCATACTCAGGATCCTCATAGATCTCATCCATATCATTCGTCGCGACCAAGTTCATCTCATAGAACCCGTCACTGAAGTAACCATCAGCATACTTCTCCTACTCAGGACCAAACACAGTCACCTCACCACTGTCATAGAATATCTTGCACCCCAAGTCATCAAGCTGTGACTGACTGACCAAGTTCACCTTCAAATCCGCAACCAGCAACACACTCTCCAGTTTCACTACTCCATACGAACTCCGCAGCACCACGTCACCCTCTCCTGTCATTGGTAACTTTCCACTGTTACCTTGCAGTATATAATCCTCACTCGACTCCCTCACATTCTCCATCCAATCTGACCTGAATGTCATGTGACGCGTGCATCCGCTGTCCATGAACCATGTCGTCTTCTCACGTCCGTCCGTCTGCCGAACCTCCATTGGTAAACGCACCACGTTCGCAAGATGTGCTCCCCCCAAAATCGGATCCTCTTCTTCCTTCTCCGCTTCCGCCACGTTAGCCTTGGCCTCCACGTTCTGCTGCTGCTCCTGCTTCAACGGTCCTTTGTAGTTACGGCCGTTGGGATTCAAGTAGCAATCAATTGCACGATGCCCAATTTTCTTGCAGTGATGGCACGCACCATTGAACCTTCCGTGTTGCTGTCCACCACTCCATCCCGCACCGTTCCCTTTGTAGTTTCTACTCCTCGGGTTCTCCACACACTCAAACGCATGATGCCCGAGTTGTCCACACTGGTAGCACGCTCCCGAGCTCCTTCCAGCAGCTGCCGCATTCACCAACGCAGGCTTCTCCTCCACAAAGCCCCTTGTAAACTTCTCCCGTCGCTTCTGATGCTCTCTTGCTCTCTCCAACGCCTGAAGCATGGCAATAAGCTTCGTCATATTCTCCGGTGGGTGGCAGATCAACGCCGGCCGCTCACCCGCCCAATCTTCAGGTAGCCCGTTGACGATGTGCCCTATCATCGCCCTTTCAGTTTCCGGCTCGCCCATCGCAGTCAAGTCATCATTGTAGCTCCTCGCCATGTTGACGTAGTCAATAATCTTCTGGTTCGGCTCCATGGTCATCAGCAGCAACTTCTTCCTTGCATCGGCGATGTTTGCGTCCATATGCCTGAGGTATGTAGACTCCATGTAAGCCCATGCCGCCTGTGCAGAGTTCTCGCGCTCTGCAAATTCGTCCAAACCCACTGCAATTCCGTCTGCAACGGAATGACATAACTGAAAAAATGCATGCTTACTCCTCTTCTTGTATTCCGCCTTTTCTTCATCCGATCTCGCCTTACGCGCGGCTGCGTCACCTTCTCCATCCGGTCGGTAGTACTCCCAAAAACCGACTTCCTTCGCCCTCCTTATGAACTTCAATCTCCACGTGCTGTAGTGTTGGCCGTGGAATCGTTGGGCTTCACTGAGCCCCATGGTGGGCTTTGTCACCACCCCTCCTTGCGCTAGCATTTCCAGAAGTGCCTTCACTTGGGGATCTCCAATACTCACAGAGGAGCCCGAACTAGCTTCCGATTGTCCGCCGACCATCTCGAAAGCTTCGCTCTGCACTTAAGAATGCTTAAACGCCACTTAAACCAGCTCTGATACCAGTTCTTAGGATCGTAAGCACCTTAGTCGGCAATAGTCTACTTGCTATCGCCTATCGTGTTCTCCACGATCTCCCGAATCCAATGATATGCGCAGCTCTGCTTGAAGTTGTCAATACACACTTCAGCAATTTTCAGAATCTGATTGGTATCAATGTTGTATTTCCAGAATGAGTACAAACAGGTTTATAGTCAAGCAAGACACAAAATGCGATTCGTAACTTCACTTGTTTCCCAAGTAACCGCGTGCGCCTCGTTTCACCCCTAGTCGCACACGCAACCGAACCGAATTCGGTGAACACTCCGCAAGTCCGAATCCCGGACTTTCTCGAACGCGCCTTGGTCTCGAAGCACATTTTTCCCCTCGTCAATCTCATTCTCGATGCTTCTCCTTCTCTCTCCCTCCTTCTAGCACATTTCTTCTCGATTTCTCTCCCGCTTCTCACGCCGTAGCCTCTATTCCCCACCGTAGGCCGATTTCCACCGTTTCACACACGCGCTTCCATTTCGCCGTCATTCCGCCGTCGTAGATGCTTTCGCCTTAGGTTCCGTGGTTGGGCGAACCAACCCTAACATATTTAACCTCCACGAACACGCCCCTCGCCTGCCCCACACCCGCCGCCCGCGCTGCAACCACTGCGGCGTGCGCATCGCGAAGCGTTGGCGCGGCGGAAGCGGGGGAGGGAGCGCGACCGACGGCGAGCGCACGCGGTAGGGCGACGAGGGTGCGAGTCGGTGCCTCTGGGAGGAAACATCGAAGCGGGGATGATCAGGAAATCGACGACTGGGAGGCCTGCGGAGCTGCGATCCAATCAGCGCCCGGCGCACCTTGCGCCGAGATCGAAAAGCGCGGCGCGCATGACGCGAGTTGGAAGTGAGCGAGGAGGTCTGATGCTACTGGTGGTGCTGGCAATGGCGGCGATGCGTGAAAAGAAGGCGCGACGGCGGACGGCCGTGCTGGGGGTTGAGGGACGCGCCGCATCGACACGGCGGACTCGAGAGAGGCGGCGATGCACGGCATGCGGGGGAGTGCGGGGCGGGCGGTGAATGCGGCGGCGGTGGTGGTGAAGGCGGAGCGCAGGTGACGCGCGGATGAGCGAAGAGCGGAAGGCATGGCTTCTTGACCACGCGAGTGGTGTGGTGTGACCCGCGATTATGGTACGGTATGCCTAACTGGCTACGTACACGTTAGTACTCACGTTCACTAGAAATATGAGCCCCACATTTACCGTATTCTCCCGAACATAACACCCTAGGGTATAGCTAAAAATACAGGGAAAAAATGGGGGGGGTCTGTTGTAAAGTAGAGGTGAACGAGAATGAATGAAACTAGGTAGGAGGGGGATACAAGTAGGAAACCCTAACAAAGTTGTACCCCCTACGGCTAAACCCACTATAGCCTACACAATTTAAACATATAATGTTTGACACACCCCCATAGGCTAAGTGGGAGACAACCAGATGGTCACAAGACCAGTCAAAGCAAAGCAAAGCAAGCTCAGGGTGGATCTCAAAGAAACCACACAAATTCTGAGCACAAGCAAGTGGTCACAAGACCAGTTCACATGCAGGTTGATAGTATAACAAGAGATACAGCGATCACAACCTAGCAAGAGTAAACATGCAGGTATGTATATATAGAGATCACAGTACAAGCAGAGTCAAGAAGTAAGCAAGTGAGGCCCAGTAGGCACAAGGCCTAGAACAGTACAGAAGCGCTGATGGTCACAAGGCTGAAGCGCCTTGGTGAACACATCAGCAGTGTTGGCCCGAGTGGCCACGTAACGCAGACGAAGCTGACCGCGCTGCTGCAGCTCTCGAGCAAGGAAGTAGCGCAGAGCGATATGCTTCGTTCTGTGCTCCAGTCTGTGCTCCTCACACAAGGCAATGGCAGCCTTGTTGTCGACGTACAGCACTGGAGGAGAACGAGGCCGCTCTCCCAAGTCGGTCAGCAGGTAGGTGAGCCAGCGTAACTCCTGTGCAGCCATGGCTGTGGCGTAGATCTCAGCCTCACAACTGGAGCTGAGAACAGAAGACGAGCGTGTAGAACGCCAAGAAACTGAACCAGAGCCAAGGCTGAAGGTGTAACCCTGAGACGACCGCTGAGTAGCCTGGTCGTCAGCCCAAGACGCGTCTGAGTGCCCAGTGAGTACAACTCGGTCTCGTCCTCCAAGCACTAGCCCCATGCCCGACGTACTGCACAAGTAGCGCAACACCCTCTTAGCGGCATCCATGTGCTCCTTCCGGTGACGGCCAGGAGCGACATAGCGTGCAAGGATGCTAAGAGGGTATGCAAGGTCAGGTCGAGTGCAGGTCATCAGGTACATGAGGCAGCCCACAAGCTCTGGATACGGGCCACTCGACTCTACGGACTCATCCGAAGGCAGAGCTGAGAGCGAGTGACCGGTAGGCAGAGGAGTGGGCTGAGGCGAGGAGTACGTGAAGCGGAAGCGCTGAAGGACCTGCTGCACCATGTGTGACTGAGTCAAGGTGATGGTGCGCCGTGCTCTGTCCCGGGTGATCCGCAAGCCAAGATAGCTTGTCAGTTCACCCAGGTCTGTGCACGTGTGTCTCTTCTGCAGCTCCGACTTCACGTGGGCGAGTGCCGCAGTGTCAGCAGTGGCAAAGACCAAGTCGTCGACGTACATGAGGATGTAGAACGGCGGCAGCGAGGTGTCGGTGCGTAGAAACAGCGACGGGTCAGCAGTAGAAGGAGCGAACCCAAGAGCCGCAAGTGTAGTCCTCAGTGTGTCGTGCCACTCACGTGGCGCCTGTCGGAGACCGTAGACTGGCCGCCGGAGGCTCCACTGGGTACCAGGAGGGAACGAACCAGTCAAGCCAGGTGGGCGGCGCAGCCAGATCTCCTCGTGCAGGCTGCCCTGTAGGAAAGCAGTGCTGAAGTCAAGAGAGTGGAGCTCGTAGTCACGCTGAGCGGCGACGTGCAGCAGAACCCGAAGAGTGGTCATCTTCGGGGTCGGGGAGAAGGTCTGGAAGAAGTCAACTCCCTCTCGCTGACTGAAGCCTCGTGCAACGTAACGCGCCTTGAAGACAGGCGGAGAACCCGGCGGCCGCTTCACCCTGAAAATCCACATGCCACTGACGATGTTCGCCCCAGGTGGGGGAACCTTGTCGACGTAGGTGCCTGTGGACTTCCAGGAAGCCATCTCTGCGTCCATGGCTGTCTGCCACTGAGAGGAGTAGGGACCCTCTATCGCCTCTGCGTAAGAGCGCGGAGTCGGGATGTCTGGTGCATCCGGGTCTCCCTCAGGGGCAACTAGCATGGACACGAGATGAGGTAAAGCAGCGGCAAAGCACTCAAACTCCTCCTGCCTGTCCTCAAGGACGTCCGTGCCAAGAGCACACTCACCCCCGACGGACGGAGGACAGACAGACTCAGACTCAGCAACTAGGCTAGCGGCGTAGTCTAGACGACAAGCGGCAGCAAAGTCGACAAGCTCAGCAACTAGGGCAGACGCAGCAGTGGACTCAAAGGAAGGGTCAGTGACAACAGTAGCCAGGAGACGCGTGACAGTAGGACTGGTAGTACGAAGGGAGTCAGACTCAGGGTCAGCAAGAGCAGGAAGAGAGGACGCAGGAGGAGACGGGAGAGGGACACGCTGAGGAGCAGTGGAAGGACGAAGCGCCATCTGGTGAGTGCCTGGGACAGCAGGAGGACGCTGACGCGGGACACGACGACCAGTGTGAGCAGCACGAACAGGCGACGCTCGACGAGACTCAGGCGACGCAGGACGAGACTCAGGCTCACGACGCTCCGTAAGACCTCCAGTCGGACCAGTGTAAGGAGAAGGACCAGGGAGAGGGGAGGCAGACGGTAACTGTGACTGCGACTGGACAGACGGAGGACACTCTAAGGAGGGAGGAGGACAAGGAGGAGGAGGCTGACCAAGAACCTGCTGAAGGAGCGGAACGAAGTACGGCCGCGGCCGCGCAGCGTCTCCAGAACCAGCAGAGACACCAGCACCAGGGTCGTCAGCACCAGCAGCAGCACCAACTGCAGGGTCCTCAGCACCAGCAGTAGCTCCAACTCCAGGGTCCGCAGCACCAGCAGCAGCTCCAACTCCAGGGTCCGCAGCACCAGCAGCAGCTCCAACGCCCGGGTCCGCAGCACCAGCCGCAGCTCCAACTCCAGGGTCCGCAGCACCAGCAGCACCTCCAGGAGTAGCAGTACCTCCAGCAGCTCCAACAGCAACAGCACCAGCAGCACCTCCAGCAACTCCAGCAGCACCAGCAGCACCACCAGTAGCAGCAGCACCTCCAGCAGCTCCAGCAGCTCCAGCACCAGCAGTACCTCCAGCAGCGCCAGCAGCACCGCCAGCAGCAGCACCTCCAGCAGCTCCAGCACCAGCAGCACCTCCACTAGCACCAGCAGCACCGCCAGCAGCAGCAGCACCTCCAGCTCCAGGGTCCGCGACACTAGGAGCGCCACTCCGGAGACTGCAGCGCCGTGCGTACCACTCTCGGAGCCGCTGGGGAGAGGGTAGCTCCCGCCTAGGAGGGGAAGCACTAGCCCCAGCTCCAGCAGTACTCCTAGCTCCAGAAGCACCTCTCCTGAGGCTGCAGTACTGTAAGTACCACTCACGCAGCTGCTGTGAGGAGAGAGCTCCTCCAGGTGTAGCACTCCCAGGCGCAGCACCTCCAGACTCAGCACCCCCAGACTCAGCACCCGCAGGCTCCGCACCCCCAGGCTCAGCACCCCCAGACTCCGCACCCCCAGGCTCCGCACCCCCAGGCTCCGCACCCCCAGGCTCCGCACGCTCAGGCTCAGCACCCTCAGCAGGACGAGAGTCGACAGCTACCTCGACAGGCTCAACCGGGTCTACCTGGGACACACCTGAGGGAGCGGCACCCTGAGGGGGGAGGGGGTCTACCACAGCAGCACCTGGCGCGAGGAAGAGAGGCGGGGGGGGAAGCGGGGCAGTGCGGTAGGGGAAGAGGCGGTAGTAGGGGACGGACTCGTCGAACGTGACGTCCTGAGAAGGCAGGACACTGCGCGAGGTGGGGTGGTAAAACTGCCAACCAGACGCGTCCGGGACAAAGCCAAGGAAGACACAAGGAACAGCGCGGGAGGAGAGCTTGTCCGCAGACGTATCGCGGACAAAAGCTCGAGATCCCCAGACCCGAAAGCGTGACGCATCGCCAACCTCTCCCGTCCAACGCAGTGTCGGCGAAGTCTCCGGAACGGAGACACGGGGCCAGAGGTTGAGCTGATGCGCAGCGTAGCGGACCGCAAACGGCCACAAAAAGTGGGGGGCAGCCGCATGGATCAAGGAGGTACGAGCGACCTCCATGACCAAGCCAATGCGGCGCTCAGCAACCCCATTCTGCTGTGGAGAGGCCGGAAGCGTGAACGACTGGCGAATGCCGTGCTCCGCACAGTAGGCTGCCAAGAGGTCGGAGGAGAACTCACCACCTCTGTCAGAGTGCAAGCGCAGGACAGGAAAGTCCGAGTGGAAACGCTCGCTGAGCTGGAGACGAGAAGCGCGGATCCAAGGGATCAAAACATCAGGGACCTCACCCTTGGTGCGCAAGGGGAAGACCGTGGTGTAGCGCGAGTAGTCGTCAACAACTATCAGGAAGTACCTCTCCTGACCCTGACCACGGACGCGGGCTGGGCCCCACACGTCCATGTGGAGCGTCTGCAAGGGAGCAGTCGTCGGGGGAAACGAGGAGGAGTGAGGAGCGGCGCGCTGCCGCCCCTCGACACAGGGAAGACAGGGAGGAGCAGGCGAGGGTGGGAGGGGAGGGAGAACCCTGGGAAGACCAGAGACAAGGTACCGTTTGTGCATGGCACGAAGGCGCTGCACGGACGGGTGACCAAGTCGGTGGTGCCAGAGGACGGTCTCGTGCGCCAGAGAGCGACACGAGCAGGGGGCCGACAGCTGACCTGACGCAGACGCAGACGCAGCTACCTGAGGGGACTCAGTGGTCAGTGTGTACAGGTCCGACCCCGGCTGCCGAGTGAAGGTAGCCAGGTGACGGCCCGTCCGAGCACACGTGCAGTGTGTCACGCGCTCGTAGGCAGGGGTGAACTGGTGAACACCCCCGTCCTGGAGCGCACAACCTGCCACCAAGTTCGTAGAGAACGAGGGGAGGTGGAGACCTGACAGTGTGCCCGACGGGACCGCAGGACAAGGAAGGACAGTGGAGGAGGTCGCAATGACCGGACCCCCAGAGGGGTCAGCGAGAGAGACAGCAACTGGCCGAGCAAGCGGCTCAAGGGTAGTGCGGTCACGAAAGAAACAGCGAGAAGCACCTGAGTCCAGTGTGAAGGTGTGCAGTGCCTCAGTCGACTCAGTACCAGGGGGGGCAGACTCACTAGCACCTAGAGCAGCAGCCTCACCAGCACCTGGGGTAGCAGACACGCGAGTACCGGGAGTGGTAGCCTCACCAGCACCTAGGGCAACAGACGCACTAGCACCTAGAGCGGCAGCCTCACTCACAGGACACGGCAGCTGCACCTGTCCACTACCAGAAGCTCCCGAACGACGCACTCCAGAGCGACTACCACTACGGCCACCCCGACAGCCCCAACTGGCGTACCACTCACGAAGCTGCTGGGGCGAAAGAGGACACGGTAGCTGCACCTGTCCACTACCAGAAGCTCCCGACCGACCCACTCCAGAGCGACTACCACTACGGCCACCCCGACAGCCCCAACTAGCGTACCACTCACGAAGCTGCTGGGGCGAAAGAGGACACGACAGCTGCACCTGTCCACTACCAGGAGCTCCCGAACGACCCACTCGAGAGCGACTACCACTACGGCCACCCCGACAGCCCCAACTAGCGTACCACTCACGAAGCTGCTGGGGCGTGAGGGACTCACGCGCACGGCCCTGGAGCTGCATCTGGCCACGCCAGGAGCAGCAGTAGCAGCAGTAGCGGCAGTAACAGCAGTAACAGTAGGAGCAGTAGAGGCAGTAGCAGCAGTAGTAGTGGTAGCAGTGCGGGCAGGGTAATGCTCACCAGTGGTCGGCGCGGTAGGCGCAAGACGGTGGCGACAGCGGGGCCGCTACAACTGCAGGGCGGGGCTGGGCCGCGGCAGGGAGCTCCGCGGCAGCTGCTGCAGGGCGGGGCCGGGCCGCGATGGCAGCTGCTCCAGGGGTCAGGGGCGGCTGCTGCAGGGGCGGCTGCTCCAGTGGCCAGGGGCGGCTCTTGCAGTGGCGGCTGCTCCAGGGGCCAGGGGCGGCTGCTGCAGGGGCGGCTGCTCCAGGGTCCAGGGGCGGCTCCTGCTGTGGTGGCTGCTCCAGGTGGCCAGGGGCGGCTGCTGCAGGGGCGGCTGCTCCAGGGTCCAGGGGCGGCTGTAGGTGCAGCTGCTCCAGAGGCCAGGGGCGGCTGCTGTAGGTGCGGCTGCTCTAGGGGCCAGGGGCGGCCGTCCCAAGGGCGGGCGCGGGGTAGGGCAGGGCGCCACGGTGAGCAGGGGCGACGCGCGGGTCGCGCGCGGGGGCGACGCGACGAGGCAGGGGCGACGCGTGCGGGTCCCGCAGCTGCGTCGCGACGAGGCGGGGGCGACGCGCGGGTCCCGCAGCTGCGTCGCGACGAGGCAGGGGGGCGACGCGCACGGGTTCCGGCGGGCTGCAGGCGTCGGCGTGAAGTAGCCGCGGCGCGCGGGTCACGGCCTGCGCGTGAGCGGCCTACGGGCGGCCTACGGGCTGCCTACGGGCTGCCTACGGGCTGCCTACGGACGGCAGCGGCCTACGGGCGGCGTACAGGCTGCCTACGGGCGGCCGCGGCCTACGGGCTGCGTACGGGCAGCGTAAGGGCGGCCTACAGGCGACGGCAGGCGACGGGCAGCCTACGGGCGATGGGCAGCCTACGGGCGGCGGCCACTAGGGCGCACGACGGCGCTAGTAGGGGCGCTCGACGGCGCTAGAAGGGGCGCTCGACGGCGCTAGGAGGGGCGCTCGACGGCGCAAGAAGGGGCGCTCGACGGCGCGAGAAGGGGCGCTCGACGGCGCGGTGGAACGGTGGGCCCAAACCAACTTCGGTCCTAGGTCCTGACCTAAGCGTCTGATACCATGTTGTAAAGTAGAGGTGAACGAGAATGAATGAAACTAGGTAGGAGGGGGATACAAGTAGGAAACCCTAACAAAGTTGTACCCCCTAAGGCTAAACCCACTATAGCCTACACAATTTAAACATATAATGTTTGACAGGGTCTCCTCATAGGAAAAAAATACATAATACCCGGGTCTTTACATATGGCATATCTTAGTGTTAGTGTTTTTTTAATTAGTCAATGTGGGTGTTTTGCTGGTCGTTTTAGCATCACTGCCTGAGGCGCGAATGTGAGTTTCGGCCTCGAACTTCATCGCCCCCACGAAAATGGCATGTGGCACCTCTCTTGCCACTTGCAACGGAAGATTCACCTGCACGTGGCGACAGAGAAATACCGTCATCGCCCGGATATAAGACATATATGTCTTATCTCGTACACGGGCAAAAATGTTTGAGTTATCTTGTAAACGGGATGGTTTAGGGTGTCTTATAAGTCTTATAAATGGAAACTTTTTAAACTACTTAGAAATATTTTCCGTACTTCTTGAAAAAGAGTTTCTCATAATGAGTGTGGATGTTGCGAAGGTGCCACTTCGACAACCTCTGCCCGGGACGCCACGTTATGGAGAACACCTGCAGGGGCAAATTTGGTAGGTCCTGGGTCAGCGCGTGGAAGAATTCGCGCTTCGCAAGGGTAAAAATGTACGCGGTATTTCAACTTTCGCTATAATTTATTGAAGTTTCGATTATAAGACATATATGTCTTATCTCGTACACACAAATAGGTGTTTTATAATGAGGCTAGTCTGTTTAGAAGAGACACCCGTATAGTAGACAACCCCTGTCTACTATTCAACACTGTCTTATATCCGGGTGATGACGGTAGTGGGAGGGGGCAAATCTCGGCAGATTGCCTTTGAATGTACCGCGAAATTTCATTGAGGGAGAAATTCACACGACATTCTTCCGTATTGCAGCTACTCGTTAACGACTATAATAATGAATCCGTAAGAAAAGGGGGGGTGTTATAGAAAATCAGCCAAAAAGGGGGGTATAGTAGAAACGAGGTCTATCATAACACCCACCCCGCACAAGCTACCCGGGGGTGTACAATTATGGGGGGGTGTTTTGTCCGGGAGTATACGGTATATGGTGGAAGCATTCATTCAAGCTGACACTGCTGATATGGCTCACAAAGAATTCTATCAGCCAACCAAATTTCTGTATTTCTTTGTTGCTCTTTTGATTTCACTTATATAATATCTAGGAGTTGCAATACACCGTAAGGTTGTCATAGTGAGACATGTACACAACAAATCGCATTACTGGGAAATATACCAGACAGACAGGTCCTGTCCTGATATTGTGCACGTGAGTGCACTGAGCTGAGCTGCTGAATTTCTTGAACCATTTACACAATCGGCAGCTCCCCCTACGTGCATTTCTCCTGCTAAAGAAGTATTCAAGCTTGGAAAATTCACAATCGAGACTTGGGCCTGCTACCACCTTCAAGGTTACCCATTTCCTTCGCCCTCTCCCTCAAAACAAACTTTTGAATCTTGCCCGTCGCGGTCTTGGGCAGCTCCGTAAAAACAACCGTCCGGGGCGCCATATAATGCGGCAGGTGGTCGCGGCAAAACACGATTATATCCCCCTCACCCACACGCGCGTGCTGCTGCCCTGGCTTGCGGCACACAAAGGCGCACACGGACTCCCCCCACATGGTATCAGGGCGGGCCACCACTGCAGCCTCCAGCACGGATGGGTGGCGGTATAGCACTGCCTCCACTGCTATGCTGCTCACATTCTCACCGCCCGATATGATGATGTCCTTTGAGCGATCCTGGTGGAGGACAGAGGTGCGCAACATAACGTGGGAGATATGGAGGGTGGGATACGAGTGGTGTGGTGCTTGTGGAGCTGAGAGCGTGGGAGATGTGTGGGGCGGAGATACATACCATCCCACAATCTCACCATCCCATCATCCCACCATCCCACCTTGAGTTGATTGTGGGTGCATGACAGCCAGGTCCCCCGAGTGGAACCATCCACCTTGGAACGCTGCCTCAGTGGCAGCCGGGTCAGCCGCATACCCCTTCATCACCATGTTGCCCCTCAGCATCACCATGTTGCCCCTCAGCATCACCATTACAAGTCGACTGTAATTGCACCTTGCATCACCACAAACCCACCATCCCACCAACCCACTATCACCGCACCTTGACTTCAATGTACCCATCGGGGTGCATGACAGCCAGGTCCCCCGAGTGGAACCACCCGCCTCGAAAAGCCGCTTCAGTAGCCCCCCGGTCGGCGGCATACCCCTTCATCACCATGTTCCCCCGCAGCATCACCTCCCCCATGCTGCGCCCGTCTGCTGCCACGTGGCGCATTGTGACTGGGTCCATGACTGCTAGTCCTTCCAGGGCCATGCACCGCACGCCCTGCCGGTGGGGAGGAGATGGGGGGAGAGAGGGTGGTGCGAGGAGTGGTGGTAAAAGGAGGGGTTGGGAGGGGAAGGTGGTAAAAGGAGAGGGATGTAGGAGGAGAGACAACAAAGAGAGAGGGGTTGGGGAGGAGAGGTGGTAAAAGGGCACGGGTTGAGAGGAGAGGTGGTGGAAGGAGAGGGGTTGAGAGGAGAGGTGGTAAAAGGAGCCGGGGCGGGAGGAGAGGTGGTAAAAGAGAAGGGATGTTGCTTTGAAAGCGAAGGCGAATGCAAACAAGGATCGCAAGGGTTATGACATTAAGCAGGACGGGACGAGCGGCAAGAAAAGGTGGATGAGCGAGATTAAGCTGGTTGGCAAGTCGCACTAAACCTGCAGGCCAGACGACAGGATGGAGATGACCTACTGCAACGGGCTTGCGATGTCCGTCTTTGACAGGTGCATTGGCCGTGTCTTCCTTGACGAGATAACAAACATGCCGATTCAGATACTGCTCGCCATCTCGTCAAGGAAGACACGGCCAGTGCACCTGTCAAAGATGGACATCGCAAGCCCGTTGCAGTAGGCCACCTTCATCTTGTCATCCGACCTGCATGTGTTGCGCGACTTGCCAGCCAGCTTCATCTTCTCCCATCCACCTTTTTCCGCCGCTCATCCTTTCCTGCCTTACACCATGTCCCTTGCGATCCCTTTCCCACCTTCGCCTTCGCTTTCGAAGCAGTGGCTTTTCCCTTCAGTTTCAGCTTTCCTCGCCCGCTCATACGCCTCCGTCAGCCCGTACGCATGCAACACTTCAAACTCCATCACCTCCATCCACACCCAATGCACCTCTACCTAACCCTCACCCACCTTCCACCCGCCACACCACATGCACCATGTACTGCACACCTCTAATCCTGAACCTCCACCCCCCATTCCACCCAGTATGCACCATCCACGCCTCACCCCACCTGTCTCGCCTTGAGCCTCGCTTGCTCGCTCTCATCCGCCCCTCGCCACCGCTCTTGCTGCCACTCGCATACCACAGCCGGCCCATACGTCTCCATCAGCCCGTATGCATGCATCACCTCAAACCCCATCGCCTCTATCCCCTACCAATGAACCTCTACCTAACCCCCAGCCCTCAATCCACACACCATGCAGCACGCACCATGCACACCCCTAATTATACATCTTGCATCCACCACAAATCATCCACAGTCTCTCACCCACCTGTCTAGCCTTGAGTCTCGCCCGTTCGCTCTCATTCCGCCCCTCTCCACTGTTCATGCTGCCACTCGCACACCACAGCCGGCCCGTACGTCTCCGTGCAACACGTCAAACCCCATCGCCTCTATCCACCTCCAATGCACCTCCACCCCTCTTACCCACCTGTCTAGCCTTCAGCCTCGCTCGTTCGCTCTCATCCGCCCCTCTCCACCGCTCTTGCTGCCACTCGCACACCACAGCCGGCCCATACGTCTCCGTGAGCCCGTAAGCATGCAGCACGTCAAACCCCATCGCCTCTATCCCCGCCAGCACTGCTGGTGGCGGCGCTGCCCCCGCTGTCATCACATGTACCCGCCTCGCCTCCTGCCCCCCCCCGCTGCTGCCCTCCCTATTCCCCTCACTATAGCCACCCCTTCTGCCTTCCCTGCTACCCTCGCTATTGCCCTCCCATCTGCCCTCGCTATAGTCACCCCCTCCACGCCCCTGGGCGCGCTGGGCGGCGAGGAAGGGCAGGCGGAGGGAGTCAGGCGCGTGGATGAGGAAGGAGAGCACCACGGGGGCTGCACACATGTGGGTGACTCGGTGGCGCGGGATGAGAGAGAATATGCTGGCCGCTGTGACCTGGTGGGGAGGGGAGGGGACGCATGGTTGTAGGGAGTCGGGGGCGTGGATGAGGAAGGAGAGCACCACGGGCGCGGCACACATGTGGGTGACGCGGTGCCGGGGACCGAGAGAGAAGATGCTGACTGCGAGGTAGGTGGGGAGGGGGTTGGGTGAGAGAGGAGGGTGCGTGGATGAGGAAGGGGAGGACGACAGGAGAGGCGCACATGTGTGTCACTCGGTGGCGAGGGATGAGTGAGAATATGCTGGCTGCTGTCACCTAGTGTGGTGGGGGGAATGGGTGTGGAAGTTGGGTGCGTGGATGAGGAAGGAGAGGACGACAGATTCTGCTCACATGTGTGTCACTCGGTGGCCAGGGATGAGAGAGAATATGCTGGCTGCAGTCAACTGACGAAAAGGGAAGGGAAGGAGCATGTGTAGGAGAGGAGGGTGTGTGGATGAAGAAGGAAGAAGATCACCACGAATGCGGCATAACACAAAGCGGAGGATGACCGTGCGGCTGGTTAACAACTGGCCCATGGAGGTCAAGACTTTTGGCGAACCGAATCATGAATTCTCGATGGCACGCACTTATTTGTGTTGCGCAACGTCCTTCTGGTCTGGGCTTCTTGCGCTACCCTACTCGTGGCTAAGACGTAAGACATGCTCCCGTGGCTGTCCGATCTTCGCCATTCTTGTCGACCGAAGGATCCATACGACGGGTCCTCCTACTCTTAGAAGCTCGGTCTTCCGGTAGTGGCTGAGGGTGACCCCACCTCCGAGCGCATCCCTGCTGTGATCTGGCTTCCTGATGAGTAGGAGCCAACGCTTTTGAATCTATTATGTCACTCTTGCACAGTGTGCTCCAGCAACCACCGCATCAGTGACCATGCGTGCTTCGTGCTCACCTGCCGGCAGCACCTTCCCAATAAGCACACCTTTTTGGTGGCTCAACTCTAAACCTAATTTATTGTATATGTATATATCCTGATGAGCCACCAAAATGATGTGCTTGATGGAAAGGAGCTGCCGACGGGTGAGCACGAAGAACACGCATGGTCAGCGACGCGGTGGTTGCTGGAACACTCCGTGCAGGTGTGACAGAAAAGATTCAGCAGCGCTGGTTCCTACTCATCAGGAAATCAGAGCACAGCAAGGATGCGCTCAGAGGTGGGGTCACCCTCAGCCACTACCGGAAGACCGAGCTTCGAAGAGTAGGAAGATCCGTCGTATGGATCATTCAGCCGACGGAAACGACGAAGATCGGACAGCCATGGAAGCTCGTCTTCCATCTTGGCCGAGAGTAGGGTAGTGTGGAAGGATTCCTGCGAGAAGCCCAGACCAGGAGGACGTTGCGCAGCACAAATAAGTGCGTGCCATCGAGAAGTCGTAATTCGGTTCGCCAAAAGTCTTGACCTCCATGGGCCAGTTGTTAGCCAGCCGCACGGTCATCAGGAAAAGTATGCTAAAAAAAACAGTGCGCCTGGCTAACAACCAGCCACACCCCACCGTGCCACACCCCACCAAGCCACATCCCACCAAGCCACACCCCACCAAGCCACACCCCTCCACGCCACACCCCTCCACTCCACAGCCCTCCACACAACACCCCTCCACGCCACACCTCACCACGGCACACCCCTCCATGCCACACCCGACCGTGCCACGCCCAACCGTGCCACGCCCGACCGTGCCACACCCGACCATGCCACGCCCGACCGTGCCACGCCCGACCGTGCCACGCCCGACCGTGCCACGCCCGACCGTGCCGCGACCCACCATGCCACAGCCCACCGCGGCACACCCCACCATACCATACCCGACCTCGCCACACACCTCCCTCCAGCACACGTTGGTGCCAACAACAGCGGCGAGCACCCAGGGGTAGGTCCAGCCATTGCAGTGGAAGAGAGGCCACACCTGCTTGCAACACACCCCCCCATACACCTCTCTCTGCCCCTCCACATACCTCCCTGCAACAAACATTCGTGCCAGCCACAGCGGCGAGCACCCAGGGGTAGGTCCAGCCGTTGCAGTGGAAGAGAGGCAGCGTCCACAGGTACACGGGGCGCTGCCCTCCTGGCAGCGCATGGAGTCCCCACGCTAGCACGTTCGCTAGGGCTGATAGGTACGCGCCTCTGTGCGAGCATACCACACCCTGGGGGAATGGGGAAAAGGGGAGAGAGAGTGGGGGGAGAGCTTCAGGAAGAGAGGCAGCGTCCACAGGTACACGGGGCGCTGCCCCCCTGGCTGTGCGTGCAGCCCCCATGCTAGCACGTTGGCCAGTGCTGATAGGTACGCGCCTCTATGTGTGCACACCACACCCTGAAGAAGTGGTGGAAGAGGGAGTGGAGAAGGCTTTTGAGTCGACTCAAAACTCCCTAGGGGGATGGGGGAAACGGGAGGGAGTGTGGTCGCCTGGCAGCGCATGCAGCCCCCATGCTAGCACGTTCGCAACGGCTGATAGGTACGCGCCCCTGTGCGTGCATACCACGCCCTGGGGGAATGGGGAAAGGGGAGAGAGTGTGGGGGAGGGAAGGAAAAGACCTTTGTAACACCTTCCGATTAATGCAAGGACTGCTCGAGTGGGGGGTAATCTTCAAGAAGAGCGGTAGCGTCCAGAGGTACATGGGGGACTGCCCGCCTGGCAGCGCGTGCAGCCCCCATGAAGATCCACGTCCACATGCTAGAACGTTTGCTAGGGCTGATAGGTACGCGCCTCTATATGTGCACACCATGCCCTGGGGTGGGGGGATGGGGGGAGTGGGAGAGAATGAGTGGAAGCGTCCAGAGGTACACGGGGCGCTGCCCGCCTGGCAGCGCGTGCAGCCCCCCAGGCAAGGACGTTCGCCAGGGCTGAAAGGTATGCGCCTCTATGTGTGCACACCACACCCTGGGGGGAATGGGGGGAGAGGGAGAGAGGCAGCGACCACAGGTACACGGGGCGGGGCGCTGCCCTCCTGGCAGCGCATGCAGCCCCCATGCTAGCACGTTGGCTAGGACTGATAGGTACGCGCCCCTATGTGTGCACACCATGCCGTGGGGGAATGCACGGAGAGGGAGAGAGTGAGCGACAGTGTCCAGAGGTACACGGGGCGCTGCCCGCCTGGTAGCGCGTGGAGCCCCCATGCGTTGGCCAGGGCTGATTGGTACGCGCCCCTATGTGTGCACACCACGCCCTGGGGGGACCGGGTAGGCGGAAGGGGAGGGGAGGAGAGTAGAGGGGGAGCACAAGGGGAAACAGAGAGGCTAGGCAGGGGCAGAGGGGAGAAGGGTGTGCAGCCTCCACGCGAGCACGTTGGGCAGCACTGCTATTTTGAGGCGCCTCAAAAGATGACTTTTTGCGGCGCCTAAAAAGACGATTTTTGAGGCGGCTTTTGAGGCGATTTTTTAGGCGCCTCAAAGATTGTGCAGCCCCCACGCGAGCACGTTGGGCAGCACTGCTAGGGAGGGAATACACGCCTCTGTGCATGCACACGCACACCATGCCATGCCCTGGCGCAGGGAGAAAGAATGTGGGTGTGGGGGGGAACGGGGAGCAAAAGTTTTACGAATTTTAGGATTCTCAAAAGCTGTATGGTAAGGTGCAGAAGCACGATCAAGAACAGCAGCCGGTGGCAGGCAGGCACTTGGACGCAATGAAAGCAGAGGGCAGAGCAGGTTGGGCATGGGAGGCAGAGGGAGGAGCGAGCGAGGCACACGTGAGAGCACCTTGGGTTGGGCGGTGGTGCCTGATGTGTAGTTGAGAGCAATGGCATCCCACTCGCCCTCCACCACGCCCCTACTCCCATCATGTGCATGGGAGCGGCGGCTTTTGAGTTGACAAAAAAGAAAATTCTAATATCACCTTGGGTTGGGCGGTGGTGCCGGAAGTATAATTGAGAGCAATGGCATCCCACTCATCCTCCACCACGACCCTTCTCCCGCCCTCGCCCTGCACGCCCTCCTCTCCACCCTCCCACTCCCACTCGTACTGCTCATCCCCTTCCCCTACCAGCTCCTCATACGTCACCACTCCCCCCCTCTCCCCTCCCCTTCCCCTTCCCCCCCTCCCACCCTCTCCCCGTCCTCCTCTGTTCAGTGATGCTGCCAGGGCTGCCACGTCAGCAGCGCTGCCACCTGGATCGCTCTGATCGGATGGCTCTTCGTCATCTTCGATAATGACAACCTGGACGGGAAAGGGTGGGCGGAAGTGCATGGTTGGGAGAAGGCAGGGCAGGTTACATGCACGAACACAGGGAGATGGGGACGACAAGCCTATCTTGTTGCAGATCTTTTCATACAGTTCTCAAGGAAATGGGGAAGGGGAGATTGGAACGGGGAGAAGATGAACGGCGAAAACAAGTATAGCTTGCGCCAACGCGACACATGACACATGACACATCACACATCACACATCCAACTCACCACCAGCACCACCCACCTGCGGCATGCCTGACACACGTCCCTTCTCCCTCAATAGGCCCGGCAGCAGCAGCAGGGCATCAGTGAGCAGCGGTGCCAGGGAGCGGTGCGCCATGACAAGGCGGGCAGAGCCGTGGGCGAGGATGAGGGCGACTGTGCGCGCGTCCAGGCGTGTGTTGATGGCGTTCAGCACGGCCCCCGCCATGGGCACTCCGAAGTGTGCCTCATAGAGCGCTGGTACATTGGGCGCCAGCACTGACACCTGGGGGTTGGGGTATAGAGTGGGGGAAGGGGGACAGAGCGGGCAGGGAGAGGGGATGAGGATGAGGACGACGGCGCGCGCATCCAGGCGCGTGTTGATGGCGTTCAGCACGGCGCCCGCCATGGGCACTCCGAAGTGTGCCTCATAAAGAGCTGGCACATTGGGCGCCAGCACTGACACCTGGGGCGGAATGGGGAGAGGGGGAGGGGGGAAGTGGGAGGATTGATGCGAGCGAGATTACGCGCGTCCAGATGAGCGTTGATGGCGTTGAGAACATCACCCACCATACGCACACCAAAATGCGCTCCATAAAGAGCAGGAACGTTAGGTGCCAGCACTGAAACCTGGGGGGAGAAGGGGGAGAAGGGGGAGAGGGGGAGTGGGGGAACTGGGAGGATTGATGAGGGCAACGGTGTGGGCGTCCAGGCGCGTGTTGATGGCGTTGAGAGCAGCGCCCGCTATGGGCTCTCCGAAATGCGCTTCATAAAGAGCAGGTAGGTTGGGCGCTAGCACTGCTACCTGGAGGGACAGATAAGAAGCAGCGGAGGGAGGGTTGGGGTTGAGGGTGGTTGTGTTGTGGTGGTATCGGGGTGAGGGGGGTGCTGTGATGACATGGGGAGTAGAGGTGCCTGCGTGTTGACGGCGCTCAGTGTTGCGAGATGCCAGGACGGGGCTGGGAGGGAGTGGCGGGAGGGCGGATTGGGTGCTGGCCTTAACGCATGGTGGATGGAAAGGGGAAGCACATGGATTGCGGATTGGGTGCTGGCCTTAACGCATGGTGGATGGAAAGGGGAAGCACATGGATTGCGGATTGGGGAGGAAAAGCGCGGACACGAGATGCTGCCTCGGGCGGCGTTGCTGGGAGCAGGTCCACGCGCCACGAGGCGGCGCTGCTGGGCAACGGCCTCTTGGATCTGCGCGGTGCCACAGCCACGCGGCGCCAGCCACCAGCCACGCGGAGCCGGCCACCAGCCACGCGGAGCCGGCCACCAGCCACGCGGAGCCAGCCTCGTTCGGCACAACACATCAAAGGGCATAGTAACCTCTTATGGTGGGGTTTGCGGCTTCCCCCGATGGAATAACGTTGGAAAAACTAACCAGACTCGACAGACAGATGGACGGACCGTGTCGTTCTTCCCGATGCCGCGGCGGCGCAGCGCGGACGCGAGTTTGCAGCAGCGACGGTACGTCTGGCGCCACGTCCACGAGTGGTCGCCGTACACCACGGCGCATCGGTCGCCGTGCACGTCGGCGGCGCGGCGGATGAAAGTCAACGGAGTCAACGGAGCGTAATTCGCCGCGTTTCGAGGAAGCGCGTCGTTATCGAAAGGACTCGTCATGGTTGCTCCCGAGAAAAAAAATAGTCACGCGCGAATAACGCCCGAATAACGCGCGAATACCGGCCGAATAGCATCCAAATAACACGCGAGTAACACCCGAACAACGGCCGAATAATACGCGCCCGTATAACGTCGAAATAACGCGCGGATTTCGGTAGAGCCTCGGTATGCTCTCTGCGAGCGCAAATTCTGGACGAGAAAGAGTTTTCCAAAAGAAGCAAGCAGGAAATTCGGGAGGAAAAGGAAGAGCAAGCAGGAACTAGGAATTCGCGAGGTCGTGCGGAGAACAGCAAAGAGCAGCACGGACACTGACCAGGTAGAGGAAAAAGGGACGGGAGGAAGGAACCCTTCGGACACTGACTGGCTGACCGGCTGGCTGATGTGGAAAGCGGGGTGAGTGACGTGGTGCGATTGATAGGGAGCAGGGTTGGAGGGAGATGTGGTAGGGCGTTACGAGTGCAATGCGAGTGAGCGAGAGAGTTGCACTATCGAAGCAAAACAGTCCATTGAGCGAAGGCATAAGCAGAACTATATAAGCTGTAAGGGAATTTCCTTTCCCTTACGCCGCATCCCTGCTTAGCGCGTACATTACTGTTTCTCACCACACTCAGCACCGTTACCACTTGCGACACTCGCCTCGACTATTTCCCGCCACCTCGCCCGTCGCAGCCCAACCTCACGGCTCGTAACTCGCGCTCCGGGCCTCCGCTTCGACACTTCCCGACCTCAGTCCCACCCAACCTCAGTCACAGGCCCATCGCGCGTCACCCACAGTTCGTTACCGTTACCACGGTGGCCTTCGTTATTTAGCTGTCACTCATTCCTTCGCTCATTGTACTGTTTTGCTTCGATGGTGCAATTTTCGCCCGCTCGCTCGATTGCACTCGTAACACTTGGTATCAGAGCCTCGGACCGCACCCACACATTGGCTTCCCCACTATCTCCATTTTTGGAGGTGGGTAGACGTCTCTCAGCGAGCAAGCACCGCTGCTCGAAGTGCTCTCTTGTAAGCACGCACGGCCACGACCGAGGCTCTCACTGAGCTCACCCGACACCCCCGCCATGGCCGAATTCAACGTCGCCACGTTGACCAAGGAACAGCTCGATCGTCTCGTGCGCCAACTCAAAAATTCGGCACTTGAAGTCACGACACTCATGGCGGAACTTGACGCCGCCCGCCGGCAATCAGCGATGAACGCACCTGCGCCAACACAGGCGCCAACACAGGCGCCTGAAAATGCACCTGCACAAACGGATGAACCAAACGTCATCTATGTGAAGATAGGAGCTTAAGCTAAGAAGCCATAGCTAGGTTTTAGGTTATATGAAAGAGAAATAGGAGAAGAAGGTGGGTTTCACTAGCAGCAATGAGGATACATATAGCAAACCCTAGATGGGTTGTACTCGCTATAGAGCACCCCACTACAGGCTAGAGAATAACATTCTGACACACCCCCATAGCCAAAGTGGGGTGTAATCAGTACAATGAGCAAGCAGGTATAGAGCAGGAGTTCACAAAGGTAAGCAAAGTTAGAGCTAATCACAGAGGGCAAGTGAGGAGGAGGAGAGACTGTGGAGGGAGAGAAGATGGGAGGCAACGGCTGAAGCTGCAGAGGCACGGACACAGGAGCGGCTGACTCAGAGGCTACCGAAGCAAGGGCGACGGACTACTGGAGTGACTGGCTCCGCGGCTATAGACGAGCGGCAGGAGCAACGGACCCACTGGCGACTGGTGCAACAGGCTCACTGGCTACCGAAGCAAGGGCGACGGACTACAGGCGCTGCAGGCGACAAGACAGCTACCTTCACACAACCTCCTCCAACTGCCCCACTCCCCTCTCACACACCCCCTGTTCAAACCCTAGCTCCACTCCCACAGCACCCCCTTTAAGCCCTAAACCCTAGGCTCCCACACACCCACCCCCCTCAGCGACAGCTGCAGCAGTGGGAGACAAGGGAGGAGGAGGAGCAAGGGGAGGAACACATAACCGCCACCCCCACACCCGCCACCCCCACGCTCTGCACCCCACACCCCCAGCACCACGGAATGCACGGGGGGGGGGGGGGGGGGGGGGGGGGGTAGGGCCGCGACGAAGAAAGGAGGAGCCGAGGCGCGGTCCTGCCCCCGGGCGCCAGAGCAGGCGGCAGAAGGGGCGACGCGCGGCCCCCCCCAAGTTGCCCCTCCCGTCGCCTGTCGAGGCGACCTGAGGGGGCCGCGCGCGGCCCCCTAGGGCGTCGCGACGGGCGACGGGAAAAGGGCCAGGGCGGGGCCGCGACGGGGCCGAGACGAGGCCGCGACAGGCGTCGGGGCAGGGCCGCGACGGGGCCGCAACGGGGCCGCGACAAAGTCGCGGCGGGCGACGGGGCAGGGCCGGGGCGGCGCCGCGACAGGGCCGCGACGGGGCGGCGTCGGGCGACGAGAGGGCGCGACGGGGGGCCGCGACGGGAGCCGCGACGGGGGGTCGCGACGGGGGGGGGCCGCGACGTGGGGCCGCGACAGAGCCGCGGCGGGTGACGGGGCAGGGCCGGGGCGAGGCACCGCCGCGCGCCACGGGGCGCCCGACGGTCAGAAAACCGCCGCGCGCCACGAGCGCGCGGCGGGAAGAAAAAAGGGCCGCGCGCCTATGGCGCGCGGCAGGCAGGCGCGCGCTCGAGGCGCGCGTTAGGCAGAGTAGTAGCAGCGGAAGCAGATGGGCTCACAGGCCAAGAGCGTAACAGCTCTGATTCCATGTGAAGATAGGAGCTTAAGCTAAGAAGCCATAGCTAGGTTTTAGGTTATATGAAAGAGAAATAGGAGAAGAAGGTGGGTTTCACTAGCAGCAATGAGGATACATATAGCAAACCCTAGATGGGTTGTACTCGCTATAGAGCACCCCACTACAGGCTAGAGAATAACATTCTGACAATCTATTCCGGCACACCGTCACAGCATGACAATGTGGGACAGCGCTTAGGCGCAGCGAGTGATGGCGCCGCCCAGTCAATGCCTCGCATGACGAGAGCCAAGGTCGTTCCGACCGTGAATACGCCTCGCGAGGGCCGTCGCCACGTCTGATTTGCGACGTCTGCGGACAACGACGAACTCCACGAGCCGATGCCGCTCAAACCGCAGTTCAGATATGCACGGCGGTCCGACAGTTCGGTCGTGGGTCTTCACGATGTCTTCTTCAGCGCAAACTACGTCATCTCGGACGCAGCGAAGATCAAATATGCGGCTTCGCTGCTACGGGATCCCGCCATGGACTGGTGGCGAGTTATCGTAACGTCGCCATGCGCGTACGAGCCTAGGAAGAGCCCACAGGGCCGGCCGTTACTTGGAGTTCGTTATGCGAAACAGCCCAATGCAGCACGTGGGATGTGTGGTGCGCAGGGCTTCGGGCGCGCTTCGACCCGATTGCGGCTTCTATCTCGACGTGTCAGAAACTGCGCACTTGGCGGCAGCTCCAGTCGGTTCAAGACTACACCAGCGGTTTTCTCGCTCTGTGCGAACAAGTCCGCTACATGCACGAGGCAGAGCGAATGGACCGTTACGTCGGTGTACTGAAGCCGGACACATCGCACAAGATAATGCTTCGTGGGCTATCAAATTTCAACGAGATTCTCGCGCTAACGGAGAAAATCGACATCCTACGCCAACCGAGACCGGGGTCCTACTACGGACATCGCCCTCGGAGACCGGCCAATACATATGATCATATGTATCATATATATATAAGTCTCAGAGACTGGGGTCCTACTACGGACATCGCCCTCGGGGACCGGGGTCCAATTACTGATGAGACAACCTGCTTGCCCAACCTCACCAACCCTTACCGAGTCACAGTACCGATTCACACTATCGATCGGGCTCAGATGAATAAGGAGGGTACAGCTACGGATTGCCCAATACTGATTCACGGAAAAGTACAGGGAGCAGCAGTAAAGATTTTTATAGACCGAGGAGCAAGTCACAGCTTAGTTGATACCGCGACCGCACGGAAGCTGCAACTGACACTTAGTTGGTGTTTACTGGAGAATGATGCACGCTTAATTGACGGCACGCCTCTGGCCATACGGGAGAAAGTGGAGAGAGAAAAAGTCCGCTGCGGGGGAAATTTCAGGTTTACACAGGAAATGCTAGCGACGACACCAGATGGGCACGACAGTTTACTAGGACGTGATTGGCTGCGACGTTACAACCCACAAATTGACTGGACAACGGGTAGCTGCACTGTGCGAAGTAGCAGTAACTGGGTCGAACTACCTCGCTGGCAGTCACCTGAGTCTTCAACGGTCCACATCAACGCCATCATGATGAACGGCTGTCGCTGGAGCTGACGTTAGGGCCTTAGAAGTCAGGAACTTTACACTGATTTCCTGAAGTTTTTGTCAGAAGAATGAACGAGGAATGAATGAACTAGCAGCAAGATGGGTACAAGTAGAAACCCTAATTGGGTTGTACCCCATATGGGCTACCCCACTACAGCCTACACAATAAGCAGCATATAAGTTTGACACACCCCCATAGGCAAAGTGGGGGAGAACAAGAGGTCACAAGACCAGTCAAGAAAAGCAAAGCAAGCTCAGGGTGGATCACGAAGTCACCACGCATTCTGAGCACAAGTAAATGGCCATAAGGCTGATAAGAAACAAGGAATGAAATGACTAAGGGAAAGTTGGGTACAAATGCAAACCCTAGGAAAACTGTACCCCATATGTGCTACCCCACTATAGCCTACAGTAGCTATGTCATATAAATCTGACACACCCCCATAGGCAAAGTGGGGGAGAACAAGGGGTCACAAGACCAGTCAAGCAAAGCAAAAACAAGCTCAGGGTGGATCACAAAGTCACCACACATTCCGAGCACAAGTTCAAGGCCACAAGGCCAGTTCACATGCAGGATTACATATATATATAAGGCTAGACAAGCAAGAGCAGGTGTATATATATATGCAACAGTACAAACAAGGTCAAGGGGTGAGCAAGTGAGGCAAGGTAGGCACAAGACCCAGCTGAGT